ACGTACTTAATAAATTTAGAATTAAACATTTTTTTAAGTCATGTTATTAAGCGATCAATATCTAATTCATAATTGTCTCTCATATCATAACCATTGCCTATTTTCGCATTTAAGTATAAATCCATACAATTACCTTACACAGTAATTAGACACTATATAAACCTATTTAGCCTTAATAAATCGGTAATTTTAATTTAGAATTTAATCTGTAAGTCCATAATTTGAATTTACAATTTAGTCCGTCACTAAACAGACAATACGTTAATTTTAATTTAGAATTTTCAATTTAGAAATACTTAGTAAGTCTATAATTTAAATTTAGAAATCTGTCACGAAACAGATTATATGCTAATTTTAATTTAGAATTCACTTAGTAAGTCTACGATATCAATTTAGAAATTAATTAGCATAATTTATATTTAAAAAATAATATGCCACGAAACAGATTCAATAAATCACTGTTCGGTGCCTCCGAGTCTACTAAACTAAAAAATACAAAAAAAAATAACAATACAAAATACTCTTCGCATGCGATGAAATAAATAAAGTGTAAATATAATAAAATTCAAATTAAATTATATAATTTATGATTAAAGTCCAAGTAAATAGATTAATACTTCGTATCGGATAAAGCTTTAAATATTCATATTGTAGAGTATATGTATGCATGGCAATTCTTATATATGCTACTACCGCATTATGATCAGAAGCGGTTTCTTATAAACCCATAAAGTAACTCTGGACTCATGATACAATTCCCCATAGCCAGTTTCAATCCCCACAAAATACAAACATTTGTATTAATGAGTACACATTTGTATTAAAGTGAGTGCTGTTCTAAAGTTATTATACATATACAAAAAAAAAGATATTTCAGTATTCTATTATTTGTGTAGACAAATAATAGAATACTGAAATATCTTTTTTTTTGTACTATTCATAGTACAAGCTCGGTTTAGTTTTAGACTAGGTGTTGCTGTAGCATGTATCCAGGGTCATTTATTAGATCGCCAGTAAGGTTTAAAGGCTGCGAGATAAATAAATACTTATCTAAACCTATCTTATGTAAATATGTTATTGAGAAAAATAGTAGATTCACTAGGAAGTGTAGGCACTGAAAAGTTTTAGTAATGACTAAGTAGGAATACGTTCATATTATAGCACACCGGTTACTACAGTTAGACACTGTCATCTTTATTAGGCACACTTCTAGTCTATGGTATGTAAACGGTATGTGCATTTTCGTATCAGTATAGAGACGCGTTTAGTTTAGTAAGAGAATCTGAACTCGCGTTACAATCATATTTCACAGTTCGCCCCATATTTCTAACATTAATTTTAAATTCCTGCCTCGCAAGCCAAAAATCTAAAGGCACCGACGAGACCCAACGGGAGGTGTGATTGAGAACTTCCAAATGTAAAGTGCAAATTTAAGTTAATAAAACAATATACATATATAAAAAATGTTGAGAAGTGTTTGACCCGTTTAGAGATCTTTTTGAGATGAATAAGATATGTCGTTTATTTATGGTTAGACATGGTTTCTCCGTTTAGGCTAGCTAACAAACAAAAGTTATTAACTCTAATTTGTATCCAAACGAGTCAGGATATTATTTACTACATGGGATATATCCCGACATTGCTCGTCTTCTCTGAAGTCTAATATCAATCCAATTCATATATATACTATTTTTTGTAATGCACTGAAGCCGAAACCGATATCAGTTACCTATATATATGATTGCGTAATGAATACGTTGCGAATACACAATTTAAGAGAACAAAAGCGCATCGGCGCAATGTTCTTTGATCGATATTTGCTTCCAATAACACCGGCCTTTTAAAGCTTACAACTTAGACCAATAAAGGCAAAAGGGAACACGATGTATAATAAAATAATAATAGTAAGTAGTAAGGTTGGTCTTACCGGTAGTGCCTTACATTCATCAGACCTTGGAGCTCTTTTTATTATACGTTGTTCATTATTGTTGTTGATATGATACATTTATCTCATTCCAAGGACTTACAGCTGCAGAATGAGTTTCAATTATAAGTACCAAACATTCTTTATGACCTAAACTCTACTTCAGATTACGAGAAGACTTTTACTTAACATAATGTATAGTAGAAATGTATAATAATATTGTCAAACAAAGTTCTTAATCAACACACTTGATATGTTTGAATACTTTAGAAACATAGACATATGATATACTCGTATTGCCACAACTCTGTATGCTAATTATTAAAACATATTAGATATTGGTGTATTATATATAAAGTATAACCGTTTTGAGTAATTTTTAATTATAATTATTTATCTTGGCGTATATTAATATTACTAAAGCAGTTACAATTAATTGTAATATACTAAAGTGTCCAAATTGAACCTAAGCTTAGATATAACAACTATAGTAATAAATATAATTACTATTGTAATATACTGCTTTAAGTTTGACACGGTCGTTATTTATACATTTTATTTATTTTTATTGAGTTCCCGATATTTTGAGGCAGTGTTTCAACCGGAAAGATCACGAGTAAGCCGAGTTACTAAATTTACAGATGATGCTGGCGCTTGATATCGCCCTGACAATTATAATTAGCTTTTTAACACGTTGACGGACACTTGCGTATATAGCTGTCAAAGCGAAGTTAGAATTGACCGGAGTACAAGTAGAAGCCTAATGTCATTTTGGAAACAATTTGTTAAGTTTAATTTTTGTTCTATTTGTTACACGACTTGCAGCTTCAGTACGCACGTGGTTGCGAAGGGTGCACGTGCTACGATAGTGTTTCTTCTTGAATTGAGTCAAGATTTAGTTTGTTTGGAGCAGAAAAAGTAAACATACACTTCTGATATTCTAAAAATTACAAAAACATATAGAGTTAATTTTCGAGCTTTACTTGTTCCTACGTCCGTCAATGTGTTAAAACAATCATAATTGACACATGACTTAAATAAATGAAATTTATAATACACCAATGTTGCAAATAATATCATAAAGTTGATAGGGGTCTCCAATTAGAGTTAACGCAGTCCTTGCCTTGCTTCTAGACATGACACGTTTCATACCTTATTTACATACCTTACATGTTAGTTTTTATACCTGCATCTTCTTTGAGAAGAAAAGTATTTTTCATTTCATTTTACATACATTTTTAAATCAACTTGATTTTATGACTAAGGAATAGTAAAGTATAATGAAATATCATAATAGACACATCCTATTCAGTTATTTTAAAGTCATCCAAAAATACATAAACACATTGAATTCACAAGTATATGTAAGTATGTGATTCACTTAATTTTGTACATATTTCCATACTAGGAAATTCAGGTTCACAGTTATATAAAGTGACAACGTGATGTAGATTGGTTATAATAATAATATGTTACGATCTAAGTTACATTTCATTAGATGAAATTTTCTAAGGGCAATTGTATAAATAAATTAATTAAGTTTTAATAAAATATTTATGGCCTTACAACTTCGTACACGAACTCCTTAGTTCACTAAAAAAAGTTCAATTTTATATATTTATAAGATCTATCGACATAGTGCTTAATATTTCATAATCTACTATAATTATAAGTTGGCTGTTTAATACGTATTATCATCCTCTACATTTCGACTATTGATTCATTTTCTTAAATACAATAGACGTTTTTAGTTTGTGCATAGTAGAAGGAATATGTTCATCAATCGTTTCAAACGATGTAATGTTTTTTTCCAAAGATAATTTCGTTTATCAAATACTTTTTGTCCTCTGAAAATATTTAGCACTGTCTCGATATCTTATATATTACATAGTTCGAATTAAATTCCATGGTCTTATTAAAAACTATGTAAATACTGCGTGGTTTTTTTTTAATTTTCAGATTCAATTTAAGATTCAGGTGTCATTCTGCATACAGTTCTAAATTCTGTTGCAAGCTAATCCTATTTAATTGAATGAAACTTAGCATGTTTATTCTATTTTAGCCTTTTCTTTCCACCCTGTCGATTCCATTACTACCTTGACATTCTAGAAAGTGTTGCATACATACATAAAAAAAAATCAAAATATGAATTTACTATCACGGGCCAAAAGAGTTAAATTTATCACGACTTTGTATACACATCCATTTTCTATGAAAACGGTATAAACTTATTTTTATTATTAAATACCTTTGTTTCAGTTCTCATTTGATTTAATAGGAAGTGACATTGTAATATGTAAAAGTTTTTGTAATTATGAAGTAAACTGATATCGCGACACTCTATGTCCTACACATACACATTGAAAGAGAAGGCGGCCATCTTATAATATTCCATTAATAGAAGAAACATTTTAAATTTCATTCCTCCGTAAGATAAATTTGTAAAAAAAACCACACCCAAGTACATCAAGTTTGTAATAATTAAATTTTCGCTTCGCAAAATGGATCAAACAAAAATATCTTAAATCTACAGATCATAGTACCGTTTACTTAATGAATTAAGGACTATCAACATCTTTGGCTCGGTAAAGTTAATGCCCAGAGTTAAAATTAATTCTGATAATAGCAAAATTTGAATTTGTATGTCCTACGCATGCAATACGAAGACTATAGTTGCAGTCTTGCCCTCGACACTCGCTAGCACCAAAACAAAAGTACGATGTAACTAGAATACAGATATAGTGGTACAAATCCATCACGATGTTGTATATGCCGTGATTAGATTGTAGAATAATCATTTCATAAAGTAATTGGCAAAAAAATCGGCTGTTTTTTGCCATTTGATTGATTTTATTCGGGTTTCACTGTTATGTAGATATTTTTTTTTTGTAAATTTAGAATTTATGTACGTATTTGACGTTCGAAGAGAGTAGTATAATATATCGCAAAAGTTGATCAGTAAATACTATAATTTTACATAATAAATGTTAATTATAACATTTATTACTACACTACTTCATGAAATGATGAATTCTGGTTTATGATCACAACATATACACTACAATCACATACAACCCTGATAAATACTTTACTCGACAATTGATATTTGCGCGAAACCTACCAACGTTTTGTCGTCGTATTGTTCATTGGGTCCCGAGGAATTCTGTAAACAAACAAATATACATATTTAAGATTTGATACATGGCAATCCGCATGTAGTATTACATATCTTATCGTATATAAATAAATCTCTAGAGTAATCGTAGTTTTACAAGTACACAAAAATAAATTATGTTATAAACTTAAAGAAATTTATTCATTCTTAAATTTTAAAAATAGAATAGAAATAATATAATAAAATATTCTTAAAATAAATTTAACATAATCACTTTTGAATAGTCTTATTACTTTTATTCTACCACTTATTCGGAACTCCGCCTCGTCACAAGAAGAATGTATAAGAAACTTGCGTGTTGCTCTTTTCAATAAATATTATTGTTTTGTTCGTTCAAAACGTTCGAAAGGTGTGCTAAAAAAATCTGTGCAGCCTTCTTAAACCGTATTACCGTCTTGTCACAGATCTGTGCCCGCAAAACATGGCTTCTTTTTAACCAATTTAGTCCTTATTTAAAACGAAATAAGATTGAAACGCATTTGAAAAAATACAGCTGGCGCGCGTGTACCGCCTCTTCACATTCGGACGCTGCGACAGACGACGGACATTCTAAGCTCTGGGTAAAGAGATAAAACGTTTGGTAAAGTAAGATCGAGAAAGATTGTGTAAAAAATTGCGTACCTGCTACATATTATATTTAGGGCAATGAAATATATACCTATGCAAATTATACGTGACTTAGAAATTGTCACAACAGTTTATACAAATAAAACTTCATGTCATTACATTGTGCAGTACTTATCTAATTACATACATACATACAAAATAAACCTAAATACATTGTCTCTAATACTAAACATTTAATTACATAAATAACAATGTTAACAAATTATTATTTAGTATTTACCTGTACAATATTATATACATACACAAAGATATAAAAGTAAATAAGATATATATAATATCCATGTTATAAAGAGTTATATTAAGATTTCTTTAAGGTCGGCAATGCACACGTGACAACCCTAGTGTTTCAGGCGTACCTATGGTAACCGTTTACCATCAGATAGGCTGTATGTTGCTGTTGCTTATTTATCGAGCAATATCGTGTGCTATGTTAGATATTGAAAATTTAATACTTAATTTTAATTTTTAGTAATATTATGAAGCTGAAGTTTGTTTACTATAGTCAGATGTTAGCACAATCTCCATGGTGCTATTGAGGTATATAGATGTCGGTTCCCAATTACCATCAGGTGAGCTATTAGCTTGTTTGCCGTAAAAAAGTACTAATCTACTTTACTTATATGCTATAGTCAATGAATAGTACAAAAATGGATTGGACTAAAATCGCTATTGACATACTAATATCCAGAGTAGCCTGAGTACCTTGAGGTCTGTTTCAAAGACTAATGATAATGGGAGAACTATTATTAGACGACCTCTGTGATCTAGTGGTTTAGCACATCATGAGTAAGATTGTTTGTGTCAGTCTGGGTGTTTTGTATGTATAATATGTATGTATTTACGAAAAAAATATATATCTATGTATTTATATTAGTTGTCTAGTACCCATAATACAAGTTTTAGCTAGCTTAACTTGGGTCTAGATGGTGCTGTGTGTATTGTCTTGAGGTTATTATTATAGAGTAAGGAAGGGTGAAATATTATATACTAATATTCTTACCAAATGGAATGTAATAACTTTTGGGAGACCCGGAGTAGGTGACTGATGCGCCTCTAGCAATTTGTTCAGATTCACAGATATGGGTTCAGAATCGTGGGGATCCACTAGGCCAGCTCCCACTAGCTCTGAGGCTATACCTTCGGCTGAGTCCTTGCCCAGAATATACTCGAAACGGATGTCATTCAACTCATGTTCAGCATTCCTGTAATGTGACAAAGTCAATTGTAAGTATTTATAGAAAATAAAATGTAAATTTTGCATTGTATGTGAGATACAATAAAGGGAATGTAAAATAATTTAAAGTTAAAAATAAATTACACATTAAAACTGTGGTATATATGAAATAATTATGTTTTTGTCACTTAAAATTTGATTTATACTACAATTTTGACGGTTGTCTAATTGGTTTAGCACAGCGCCTTGTTTCCGATGGTCGCGGGTTTGAATCCTGGCACGGTACAAACATTTGTATTCATGATTAAATTGTTTGTATTGGTCTGGGTATTTTCTATGTATTTGTATCAGTTGTCTAGTAGTTAACACAAACTCTGCTTAGCTTGATACTACACTCGCGATCAACCAAATCGACTCAAGCGCTACCTCTACATTCAATTGTTTTGTGTTATATAAATTGTTCTAAATAAAAGGCATTGTTCTAAATAAAAGGATACAACATGTAAATAAAAATAATATGTCATGTTTGAATGTAGAGTTAGCGCTTGAGTCGATTTGGTTGCTCGCGAGTGTAGATGGCGCTGTTCGAATTATAATCATTCTGGATCCTCCCGTCGAAATATTATCATTATTATGCGTCGCGTAATGTAAAAGATACATCAGAATTTAATACCTAATTTTCGATTCTACCAGAGAGTGTTAAACACATTTTAGCTAATGAAGGAAGATCATCTGTCATACCAATTGAGTTAAGTTCACATTTCATTTACATACATGTTATCTAGTTCCACAGCCAAAAATCTGAGACTACTAGATCAACTAGTCCACGGATTACAATAATATTACTAATAGCTGTTCCTTTAAATAATACAATGGTACGGGTTACAACATGGGATATTGAATGCTATAGAAAGTCATCATCTGCTTCTTTCTTATCCCATTTATTTGTGGTCGGCGTAATATGTTTTTCTCTTCCATTCACCTCTGTTCACAGTCATCCCGTTATTTACTCCCTTTCTCACCATATCATCTTCCTCTACCCTTATAACCATCTACATTCATAATGAATGCTATAGAAAAGAAAGTAGAAGAGGAAAAATGTTGAAGCACTTGATACGGTACGATGAATTTTTGAAACTAATTATTGAGGGAAAGAAAGAGGGGGAGAGGAAGATCAAGGCACGGTTACATCAAACAAATTAAAGACAGAATTGGAGTCGTGTCTAATGTCGTGGATAATGGAAGATCGTAGAAAGTGGCAAGAGCTCCACCGACAAGAACGTCGCTCTTAAGTTTATGTATAAATGAATATGGGTTACCACATGTGTGGATGCATCTGGATCATCTTCTCGTCCTGAGGCGGCAGCGATACAGGTGGCCATTTCACATAGACGTATTTACTCGAGTGTAGGTGTCGTATTGGTTTTTATCATTTGGCGTAGAGACGTTGGACCCAAGGATATAGTAGCCAAAGTGTATTTGATGATTATTGGATCGCGGCTTATCTAGACTACTGACCTAGGAACTGGTAGCTCCGTGCCCAGAAAATAATTAAGTATGGCGATTCAGGGAGAGAAGGCAGGTCGTTACAATGCCTCGATGTGCCACGTCAGATAATGAAAAGTTATAATATTGACATTTAATTTTTAGTAATATCATAAAGTTGAAGGTTTATTTGTTTGGTTGAATGCACTAATCTCAGGAAGTACTATTACTATTATTGGAATTAATATAAATCTAGGGTCTATCGGCTATACATAACGCTACGACCAATAGGAACGCAGCATCAATTAATTTTTTTCAAATAGTTATTATCATATACTAGCTGTACACGAGACTTCGTCCGCGTGCAATTTTATTTTATTTTTCTAAAATAAAAGTAGCCTAAGTTACTCCTTAGTACATCAGCGACCTGCCAAAACAAGTTCCGTCAAAATCAGTCCAGCCATTTCAGAGATTAGCCGGGACAAACAGACAGACAGACAAAAATTGTAAAAAATGTTAATTTTGTGTATATACCGTATTTCTATTCATATGCATGTTGTAAAAAACGGTTACTTCAATATTATAAACAGACACTTCTATTTTATTTATATGTATAGATGTATGTATTGATATTTTTTTTAAAAATTAGAACTGCGTATAAATAAAAAATAATAATATAAAAGCGAGTTGAAAGCGTCTTCTTGGTCCTACTTGTTTTCTCAGAGTACTTACTTGAGAATAGTGGATTTTAATCTAACCGACTCTCAGAAAGTCCTATAACAAATAGTACATACAACAATACATATAAGTCATTTATTTATTTACCTTAACCGCAATACTAGATTTACAGCTTGTTGCGGCGCAGGTACTGGTACTGGATCAGGTTTTGGTTTTTCCTCTTCTTTTGGTACTACACTCTTCTTTTTATCAGGATCCTGCAAATAATAAAATTAATTAAATATAAAGTATGTTAAATATATATAATTATATTACAAGTCCATATCGGTCTGTCGGTACTTGATTCTGAGGTGCAAAACAGGAAATACTCTGATGGCAAGTGGTACACGTCACCTATTATATGTAATTTCACTGGCTAATCGCACCATATAATCGAAACACAGTTTACAAATAAATCATGGAGACAGATGGACTCCATGCAGACACCTTTCTATTAAGCACATTGGTTGTTGAATAAAAAGTTTAATCCATCAGCATAGATCCAATTTTAGTTAGTAATTAGTATTAGGGTAAGCCTATGTTGGATAATCCATGACATTTAAACTTAGAACTGTTGTTGCTAAGTAACAGTAATGTAAGTTTAGAGTCGGCAATGCACACGACACCCCTGGTGTTTTAGTCATCCATTACCATACCTTACCGTAGCAACCTTTTACCATAACTCTTGTTATGGTATGACCCATCTAACCATACTCTTGTTTGCCACCATTGTAGTATAAAAAAGTCACTCAAAAGTTTAGTGAGATGTCATAAACGGCCACTGAATACCTCCATCACTTTTACAGACTAAATTGTAAGTACAAAGAGACAACATGTTTACAACTACGACTGACAGAACTTTTCAAATAATAACAAAGTCTGACCTCTTCATTTTCGCTGGCACTAGACTCGGCCTTTTGTAGTTCGTTCATTGGCTTCTTATCGTCGCTGACCGACGGTTCCTCGTCGGTTTCCTGATGTTCTGTATTCTCTTCATCCTCCTCGCTCCAAACCCACTCTCCAGTGACAGTTCGGTGTAACTTTCCGGAGGTGCCCGATTGCCTTTTACTTGCCTACACCCAATAAAATATATACACTGATATAAAACTGTTATATATGTTTACGCGTAAGACTATTTACTTAATGTCAACATTAAAATCATTATTCACCGCACACATTCATCTGTATCACACTTACATGACATTTATCATTATATTTCGCCCAATTTACATAATATCTTTCTAATTTATAGCCTATGTGATATTCTGATGTAAAAGCTATATTAGTGTAAAGTTTCATCCATATTTTTCAGTAATTTTTGTGTGAAATAATAAGAAATACTCACATACTTTCAGATTTATAATATGAGCAAAAAGTAAGATTACGTATATTCTCCTTTCATCCTTAATCCTAAGGCTTGTATTATTACATAATCCTAGAATTTTTATTCAACTTTATTTTTATTCTTTGATAAAACGAATTCACTCGCCTATGTTAACGGTTTACGCTGGCGGGGCATCAGTAGAGGATGATAAAATGAGTATGAAATCAAGTCAGTTAGCCCATCGTTGTAAATTCACCATGAATTTATCACGATGTGTTCCAGGGGGTCAACCAATCATGGTACATTGCTAGCAATGGGATTATTAGTCCACATTAGTAACAATCTCCTGTCCCTATTTAAGAATAGTATAAATTTGGGTATACCTTATGTACTCTGGTTTCCATGCTCGGCCCAATAGCCACTAAAGTTTGAGTGAGGTACTTCTTATCTTTAGCTCTTTTGAAGAATGGATGCTTCAGTAGCTCAGTGGCAGTTGGCCTTTTGCTAGGATCTTTTTGTAAGCAATCCACTATCATTTTCCTAAAGGTTTTTCCGTACAACTTATACTGCTCTTTTTCATCGGCACCTAAAAAAATAAGTTCAATAATTAATATTGAGTATTCAACACAGTTATAGCAATTAATTAATTAATTAAGTACTTTCCTCTCCTTTTTAGAATGAAGGATTCGGTGACACTTAAAGAGTACGTAATCAGGCAAGTTATATCAATATATTTCAATTGTAAAAAAAGTAAAATTAATTATATTTCCATTAGTAAAATTAAATTTATACAATGTATAAAGGAGATGTTAAGTAAGCGGTGTATACATGATATACAGATGATTTTATATATATTTAACAGTCATTTCGTTTTAATTATCATGTATATATATATGCAATATTTTAAGTAGTCCCCTATTTTTTTTCTCGAAATAGTACCAGTTAAAAGAAGTGGTAGGAACGCATAGAATATACTATAAAATGTAGTGGAGCCAATTAGGTGCTTCATATGTCTGTGAAAATTTATTATTTTATTTATCTATACATATATTATCTTTTTTGTCCTTGATTCTATTATAAGCATTGAATGAACATATTTTCTTTCTTTCTATGTAAGAATGAATAGAGAGATTGGGGTCATAGATAAAATATGTACGGGAAAAAAACATAATGGAATAAAAGAAACTTTACCATTACTATACATTTCACATACTAGCTGAAAGCCGCGGCTGCATAAAATTAAGATACCCGCGAATTAAACCATACATTTAAACTATCGGTTTAACTCCTGTTAAACTGTTGTAATGAAAACTTAAAAAATACTATACCAATGAGAAAAATTCAATCAGTTACATATTGCAGATTTTTTTAGCCTACTCTTACTACCTACTCTAGTTACTATTACTTTCATTTAATATTTCATCTATATTTTATATTTCTCTACTCACGTACGCTAGGATAGAGTAGGTATACTTTAGCCTACGTTACCAAGTTACATAAGCCGTAAAAACGCAGTGCGGAGGTAAACAGCTTGTCCATCAAAATAATATAGGAGTATAGGTGCAATAGTCAATTTTCCTTGACAATACAAAATATTAAGGAAAATTATGGTGTATAAAAATAAGTATGAACATAACTACACAATATAGCACATTTAACACCATATGGTATGAACCCAAAATTTCGAAATTAGCCTTTAAGACTAAAACTTTAGAGTGGATTTTCCAAACATTATTGTTTTTTAGTTAATCTATTATTGTATTAGGTGTGCGATATGTAAAGGTGGTATGTAATATAATAAAAACTGTTTTCAATTACATGTGAGTGACTATTTGTCATGTCATCAAGGTCAGACGCAAATTTACATTGGAATAGTAATATTATAATTAAGTTTATTTAAATACGTTAACGTCAATGTTACAAAGGTAGCTAATTTAAATTTCTCAATAAAAAATGTGTCTGAAATACGACAACATACAATGAGATAGCGCCTTAATGATCAATATGATATATGAAATATGTGTTATCTTTGAAATAGAGGTTGTCATAGATTATTTGTTATCCTAGTCAACCATCACACAGAAGGTAATCGCCTGCAGAAACTAGTATATAATATATATCAAAAATATACAAAAACAAACACGAGATATAATTGTCCGTACTGGGACCTTTATTTTTTATGGATTAGTATAGAGTAAAGCCATCGCCTATTTTCAATATGAATAGAGAAGAGTTTGTTAGTATGACTGCGAAGTAAGGTCGGTTATCCCATAGTTTTAGGATGACCATGAGTTCAGGTCAGTTAGCCCATTGTTACAAATTCACCGGAAATTTATCATGATGGTTTCCGCGTAGAACTCAACCTAACATAGTACATTGGTAGCGGGGTAATCAGTCCACATTACTAACAATCCCTTTTCTCCCAATATAGCAGCACACAATAGAAATTGCAACAATGTAAAGTAATAATAATAATTGTTTAAAATCTACCCTGTACCTACTGTAAGCACAGACTATTATTTTAGAGTCCGTTAGTTTCGGTTCCCGCTCTTTCCCCCCCTTACCTATGACAGAACTGACCGCACGGCGGCATTAATGCACACGCATGATTCCTATATTAAAATAAATTAAAACTGAGTGTGAAACCTTCCATGAAACTGTGAAAGCTAGTAAAAATATCATTGAGACGCTTGCCTGTGTTAAGAAGCCCAAGATATCCTCAGGAGTATGCAGGTACGAGACAGACGCTTCCACATATAGTATTTTCCCTAACAATAATTTATTCAAAGTAGATGCAGAGTAAATTATGTATATAAGAACTTAAAAGCTAATATCGCGCAATGAGCTGAAAGGGCCTCCACTCAACTGGTGAACTGGTGAACAACCGCAGCATGTCACTGTAGCGCTAATTTTCAGTGGAGTACAGGTACTGCCCTACCTCTACACCATCGGGGTCATAAGAATAGAAAATGTAGCATACCTGTATCTAAATTAGGTGGATCATTCTGCAGAGTTAACATCAATACTTTCATAGGTGGGTATTTATGATAAGGCGCAGATCCCGACGCCATCTCTATAGCCGTTATACCAAAAGACCAAATGTCAGCTTTGAAATCATATCCATGATCCTGTCAAAAACATATTAATATAACAATTCAAATAACATTGAACAATATTCTATTATTCATTAGTACACAACACAAACAGTTAAAACTGGTTATTAAAATCTATTTTAATAAAATTCCGATAGATGTTAAGATACAGCATTGTTTTAATATAATCTTATTAATTAATATCATAAACGTGGAATTTTCTGAGTATACTACATGGATAGATGTTTATTAATATTTCACGCCACAACTACTGAACGGTTTTTGATGAAACTTTACAGTAAAATAACTTATATATCAGCATAAGATATAGGCTATAAATTTCATGCAGGTGAAACCGCGGTAATAGCTAGATTTTAATAAACAGAATGAGTACATGATATGTCGAATTTAAGTGCTGACTAAATGCAAGTGTTTTTGTCCGGTGCAATCGACATTGTGTATCTATGTCGCAATATATTCTATGATTCTACTATAAAAACTCGTATATAATTTGTCATTTTGGGCTATTTTTTTCATTGATAAATCCCAAATAATAGTTCTTTTCATATATATCTATCAGACAGCGATTACATGTATAGATGAACTTCTAATATCTTCCGTTCGAATAATAAGTACTTCATTATTTATATACTGTTTTAAACTTGACGCGGTCATTATTTATATGTATAATAAGTAAAAATCACGGGATCTTATTACGTTTTATATTTATTTGCTGAGTTCCCGATATTTCGGCAGTGTTTGAACCACCATGATCACGAGTAAACAGTTTACCCGTGATCATGGTGGTTGAAATTATTCATTATTTATATTTCTCATAGTATAAAATAAAAGTAGTATTTTTAGCTGTCTGTTTTTCAGCTTCTTCGCAAGGACGCAACGGATTTTGATACAACATTCATTATTATTCGGAGAATATCTTCCAGAATGTCTATAAGTATAATATACATGTAGCAATACGTACTACATATATTAATATACCCCTGTGAGGCCAGGCTGTGTCGCTAGTCTATACTATTATTATAATTATGTAGTTTGTGTATTTGTGAGGTCGTAGGGGGTATCTCTGGAGTTACTAAACCGATGTTGAAATTTTTTTTACTAATAAAAAGCCACGTGGTTTGTGATCGTACGTAGGGAATATATTAACTTGTTCTGCTAAAAAATCATATTACAATCTAGGATAATACACACAGCAACATCAATTTCCAAATTTAACACGATTTGTACTATGCTATTTCTATCAGTTATTTTGTAAAATTTCTTCTTTGTCGATTCCTCAAGGCATGAGTATCATGACTACCAGGAATGCTTCTTCCAACCAACATTCTCCAGGCATCCTCTCCTGAGCCAACTGGATCGCATACTGCATATTTTGCATGCATTTAGTAAAATAGCTGATAGGAATACTTCACAAGACATTTGTTTTAAAAGTAATAAACTTAAACAGAAAATATCCATATAAATACAAACGCGTACGCATCTGAATCGTGTGAGTATTGAACCTGCGACCGTCGGTCGTTTTTAAAACATCTTTGTACCTTAGTATTGTCTTTTGACGTTAAAAATACTTACTTGTTCCATTACTTCAGGTGCCATCCAGCAAGGAGTGCCGACAAATGTATGTCTAACTTTTTGCCTGGACATATCTCTGCCGGTGGCTAACCACGCAGATACACCAAAATCAGCTATTTGAACGGTACCATCTTCGCCTAGTAAAATATTTCCGGCTTTTATATCTCTGAAAATAATAATTATCATATGCAGCAAACCAATTAAATTAAGTTTACAACATAAATTGCTATAAGGGTATCCAGTGCAATAAATTGACTTTATTTCAATTTGACAGTTTTGATTAGATACATCTAACCATATATAATTTTAATATGTATATATAGTAGATACTGTCATTACATAATTCATCATATAATTTTGTAAAAATATTTCAGAATAAATAATATTACAACATCCATACTGATATTATAAGTTCGAAAGTATGAATGTCTGTCAGTTTGTTACTGAATTGACTAAAATTTCCTACATCAATGAATGATATTTGAATTACTGGATTTCAACCTTTTCACAACAAATGACTAATACGGAGAAAGTTTAGAGACTATTTATTATCTAAAAGAAAATTTGGAAGGGGGTGAAAAAAGGGACGAAGATATTGGTATACTTCCATCCCTAATTTCACACCTTTTAGATTTTCTGAATTTAATCGCGGTAAACAAGTAGTATTATTAATTCGAAAGTGTGTCTGTCATCAGTTTCATACCATTTTATGACTAAAGGGCTAAATGGATCTGAATTAAATTTGACGTGATACATTGTATCCTAAGGACAAAGAATGGCTACATGTTATTTTATCAAAAGCAGACAAAGTCCCGGGTAAAATCTATTTCACTATATTATTTTTTATTTAGTCATAATAAATAATAATATAGTAAATTAGATTAATTCGTTTTCTACTTGTAAGAGTAATTACAAACTAGACTTTACCTAGTTATTTAATTATTATAATTAATTTGAAAAATAAATACTAAGTAAATTATTGTTAAGTATCTATATGTATAAATATATATTTATGTGTATAGTACATCTATACAGGTAGGCAAGTATTAGTATAAATATATATTAACTATATCTTGCCAACAAACTGTTCTGCAGTCTGGCGAGTCATTTAATAATAATAAAGTAACAAACTTTAATGAATGAATTAAAAAAAATAGCACAGGCGTAAAGTTACGATGTTCATGTATATAGGCGTCGTTTACCACTTATATAATTATATAAACGAACAGTACAAATCCTCTTTGTATAATATATAAGGTAATTACTAGCATGACAATGTATGTTTATAAACCAATGAATAATTTATACATCTAAGTATATAACTAACTAGATCTTACTAATATTATAAACGCGAAAGTTTGTGAGTGTAGATGGATGTTTGTTACTCTTTCACACCAAAACTACTGAACGGATTTTCATGTAACTTTACAGTAATATGCTTATGCATCAGAATAATATAAATTTCACGCAGCTAAAACCGCGGGCAGACCTAGTAATTATATAAACGAACAGTATAAATGCTCTTTGCGTAATATTTCAGGTTACTAGCATGTATGTCTATAAAGTAATGAATAATTTATACATCAAAATATATAACTATTATACATCTTAAGTTTTATTTTAATATTATAAATGCGAAAGTTTGTGAGTATGGATGAATGTTACACCTTCACGCAAAAACAATGGGTTTTGATTAAACTTTAGAGTATCTTTAATAGCTTATAGTTACATCGGAATTACACATAAGCTATAAAATTCTAAACCGAGTGTAAAACCGCGAGCGCAGATAATTATTTTTATACCATATATATCTGGTTTGTTACAAATATTCTCTATCGCCAATGCAATCGTAAATCTAATATTATAAAGCTGAAGTTTGTTCCATTGAACGCGCTAAAGGAGTAAAAAAGGAGATTTTTTTAGCTTCCTCTCTCTGTCACACATAACGCGTACGAAGTTGCGCAGGTAAGCTAGAGTAGTATTGACCGTTTATCAGCATAAATTAATTACGACAAAAAACTGATGAATATAAACACATTTCGCGTGATTTTAGAATATATTTTTTGCTACAACCAATAGGAGCCCAGCGGATTAATGAAAAATGTTGTAAAAAAGAGGAAATTCTTCCAGCTTCCGCTCTCTCTTTTACATAACGCGTACGAAGTTGCGCTGCGCGGATCAGCTACGTATTGTTAATTTATAAACATAAATGAATTACGACATAAAAATTGAGGAATATATTTCGCGAGATTTTCGTATATATTTTTTGCTTTCATAATATTTAAATTCGTACTGGGCAACAGCGACGCGTGGCCTAGCTAGCAAGTCATCATTACGACGCACCGCATATTTTTGTTCAATGAAAAGTTCGCGAGAAAAGAGGCGAAATAATTGCAGTTGTAATGGTATACGTCTTCGCTTGTATTTATATAGTGATATAAATAGTTACAAGGTAAACACCACGCAGCGAAATTTACAAATTAAATCGGTCAAAAGGTCAAACTTACCTTAAATAACTCGCAAAAGCAAAGTGTAATTGTTTAATATCCACATCCGAACGGTACGTGATTCTTATTTCAAACAATGTTACATGATTTTATTTATTATGTGTTATTGGTTTGTTTTCCCAACTACAACTGATTATGTGTAGCAACACATAGAATAAACAAAAACATTAAACATTGTATGAAATGAGTTCGCCGAGGTTAATTAAGATATTTGCAACAAAATTTGCAATATATAAACATAATCTGTCTAGAATTAGATTTATTAATTAGAAATGTTACGATAAGTAGCGTTAATTACAGTTTATCCACTTGCTAATAATATGCGCTCTACATACGTAATGGTTTTAATATTCAGAAACATTTAAATGCGTTCACAGTTTACAATTTTGCAACAATGTAAGGATTACTAACCCTGAATTAAATTTAATTTATAAACATGCGTGTAATAGAGCTTTTGTTCGTGACGAGACGTTAAATACTATACTAATATTTAAAGTTTAGAGTTCGTTTGTTTGTATACACTAATGTCTGGAGCTACCAGTCGATTTTTAAATAAACCTTTATACGTTTGTTTGCTCAATACTTGGAGGAAGTATTTTAAACATCACGATGTGACTTTTAGGAGTTCGCAAGAAGAAAATATAATCCAGAATGAACGCTAAGCGTATAAAACTACGTCGCGAGCGGGTGATATGGAGGGTTGGGAATAAGGGTGGTCGCCATTTCCTTGCATATAATAAAACAGTAAAATGGTGACACGAGTCGACAACTGTCTGTTTATCTTTTTGTGTTTTATAGCTTCGCGTAAAACCAGTAGAAGAAGTAAGTGTATGATGTACATGTAGGCTACAGAAATTTAAATACACATCCACTATTGCTAATATTTTATTAATAAAATAAATAAATATAGTTGGCAATAGAAATAATCTTTATTCAAATAAACTCATTACAAGCACTTTTGATAGTCATATTTTTTATTCTACCACTCAATCGGAATGCAGATTCATCACAAGAAGAATGAGCAAGAAACTTGTGGGTTGCTCTTTATAATAGATATTTTTTTTACATAAATAATATAAAAAAAACATCTATATCATCATATAGCAATACATTTAATTACTTTCGTTGTTGTTTATGGTCAATTACTGGCGAGTACAATATAGACGCAGGCGAAAACGTATAAATATAGACATACATTAAACCGCGAGTAAAATCATGACGCTCAGCTAATATAATATAATAATATGCAATACATAGGACAAATATATAAAAATACAACAGATATTATAAAATAAAAATAAAAGAATAAACCAATGTTTGTTATATAAATAATAATACAATACGGTTGATGTCCGGGTCTACTAACATCCTACCTACCTTCGTGAAGGAAAACTACTGGCCGAAGATAGTGTTATACCGACGCTACAGTGGCAGATTGCCGTAGAAAAGGATGACATCATAGACAATATTATATTTATATATATATATATTAGTACTTAAGATGGGCTAATAATAGTGGCCAATATTCTTATCACGTTAAGTTGCCTGAAATAAAAATATTATTATATAAAAAAAATACATACCTGTGTATTTGTCCATTGCTATGAAAATATTCCAATCCCTTTAGTACCTCCCTGAGAACAGTAGCAATAGTTGCCTCATCAAACACTCCATGTTTACAGTTGCTCACTTTCATTTTATGTTTAATAACATCCAAGAGACTACCACCTAAAATAAAATAAAATATTGCTTACATTTTAACGTAACTAGAATGGCAACTAAGTAATACGGCGTACCTCTAGTTAAATGTCAATCTCACACTTAGACCTATACATAAATAAACTTTCATGAAGTCATTCTGGAAGACTAATACGTCAGGCGTTTATTCGCAGTAATTTTCCCTTCAATCGAATCATAAACAATAAGTTGCTGATTTTTTTATGTATAAAATATAGTCCAGAGGAACTTAAAACCTCTACAGTGTTTCTCGGTACCATGACAGTATGCTACGGGAAGTACATAGATATTCCGCCGACTGTGATCCGACCATAAACTAGAAAGAAAGAAAGAGAAAATAAAACTAGCCTATGATCAGAGATCAGATTAGTGGCTTGGCATATGATCAGATCTCCAGTGTTTTTTTATGTAATTTAAATAGCAAAGAACCTAATGGCCCATCGGATGGGAAGTAACCGTCGTCTATATACATGAACAGCAGCACCTCCGTAACATATGATGCCCATAACCACTCGTGCAATCTCATCTTACACCTTCAATCTTGTAATTTCTGCTGAATCTCATCCTTCAAACGAGCATCCTTCATCCTTTAAAGCAAGCTGCAAATAGACTTTAAACTTAGAAATATAAAGTTGAAATTTCAATTCTTATTTAATTAATTTTGTTTATTATTAAGTAGAGTCGAGTCGTGTCGTATCAAGAATTAAAGAGTATGATGGAAGATCGCGGAAAGTGGCAAAGGCTCCACCGACAAGAGCGTAGCGCTTAAATTATGAATGAATGAATTATTAAGAGTAAAATATTAATATATACTTTATGGAGAAATACAGTAGGGAAAATTGAATGTTACTTTCTTTTATACTTTACTGTACAATAAAACATAGTATAAGAGGATACAATAAACTTATTAAATAAATATATAAAGTTGTGGACATATCCTATAATAGGGATATCTTCCAGTTAATCTTTAAACGACCGAGAGGACTAGTGGAGAGATGGAAACATAGGTACAATAAATAATACAATATAACATATATCACATTACAATATAATATATACACAAATATATACATAAATAAATATACTATAAGTAATAAGAATAGTCCCACTGCTATAATATATCTAATTATAAATTATAAAATATTCATTTTGTTGAATACCTAGAGTAAAACGATTAGTAAATATATCAAAACATGTATGTCTTTTTACCTTCAAGCAGTTTCAGCACAAGCCATAATTCATCGCTGACTACAAAACTAGTGTAGTAAGTTACTACATTTTCATGGTTACAGCTTGACATTGCCTGTAAAAATATATTTATTACAAAAAATAGGGTCAGAATACAAACAACTTACTAATACTATAAACGCGAAGTTTAAGAGTCTGGATGGATAGAAAGTTGAATAGACGTTTGTTACTCTTTCACACATAAACTACAGAACGAATTTTGATGAAAATTTACTGTAATATAGCGTATACATAAGAATAACACATAGCCTACAAATTTCATGCAAGTGTAATCTCAGGCACTGCTGGCAATATATATATATATAGAAAATGCCTCGATATACACACATGTATGTATACACAAACATACTCATGAGTATGAATGTTTATATCGAAACCATGACCATCAGGGGTGAGGCGTTATCCTTAACCGCTACATCACGGAGGCAGTTTGATAGTTAAAGTACTCATATATATGTAAATATAAGATAGTAGAAATGTTGTTTGCGGTATATTTACGATTTGCAACTAATTCACTGATTAACATTGTAGATCACTTCTAATCTATCGGCAACATTGAAAATTGTTTACTTGTTTTTGAATGAGACTAGATAATGCACATGTTTCGAAGTCTTTGAGGTCAGGGTTTAGATAGCAACACTGTTGCAAGTAACATGTTTATTATTGTCCTCCTTTCTAAAAGGTCACTTAGATATACAGGATAAATAGAATAGTTATATAAGTTCTCAACATAATAAGCAAACATACTTATACATATGTATACAATATAATAATAATAATATAACACTACAGTACATAGAAATAATGTTTACAATATAGAACTTATTATAAACATGCTAACAATAGGCAGTCTTATCGCTCAAATCAAATCAGACAACCTAGCAGTACATGCATATGTAATGTGGTGATGTTGGACTCCAGTCTCCGCAATTAGCCTCTCATTCGGGCCGTTGTGCGTGTAGTATATTCATATCCGACTATCTAAGCTGAGAACCTTTGTTCACTAGCGAATATACCTCATTATCATTAATAGGATAGCTAAAGCTACAGGAAACCCAAATGTCTAGGAGATCTGTCCATAATGCGCTAACATTCAAACACGCGAAGTTAGTCGTTAAGTTTTTAATTAAATTTTGCGTACTTTACTGGGTAACTTAATTTCTGGTTCATTGTGAACTGTTTATAGAGTATTATAAAACAATAAAATAAGATGACGATGTGGTTCTCAAGTTATAGCGTGAGCAATAGAAATAAATATTGATTTTTATATATATAGATAATCTGTCCCTTTGTTAACACACCTTAGAAATGAGATCAATGTTTAAAAGTTTTCAGATGGGTTACGAAGTAGACTACTTTGGGAATCACAGATCTAGAAATAAAAATAAAGCCTTCTAGTCCCACGGTAAGCAGAATTTGTGTTATGAGTACTAGATATAAATTCTTAGATATTTTGAATTTTGAAACAGAAAATACCCAGACAGGCAATCATACTCATGAATGAACACATGAATGTTTGCAACATGCGAGGAATCGAACCGTTAATCAGCGGATGTAAAGAGTGATGCTAAACCGCAAGAGCACCAAGGCTGTCTAGAAATATATTTAAGATATCTAGATTAGTCATTCCCAAAGTATAATTAGGTATTCTTAATTATCTATTTATGTGATGATTAAATACATGTATTTCTTTTAGAAGCTCGTCCATAGAGGTGTTCCATTTTTCCAAATTTATCCTCTTGATAGCGCATTTCTCTCCCCTTGGTTTACAATATGCACCATACACTACGGCCGTGGCGCCAACACCTACAAATTCAAAATATTACAATCAAACAATCATTTCATTTTATTGATAATATGTATATCAAATATAATGTTAAATTACGACTTAATCAGTATCAAGCATTTGTTTTACCTATTCGATAGGTAGGTATACTAAACAATTAATGAATTTTAAAAATTAAAATTGCATTTTACTACTACTAAATAATTACTATAGAATAGTTAAAGTGTAATATAATATTAATTACACAGCGTCTTATAGTCCCGAGCTAAGCAAGCTTGTATTGATTAATTATCAGACAATTGTTATTTTTTTATAAATACATACGTACATACATAATATACCCAGAAAACACCCAGACTGATACAAAGAAACATACTCATGAATGAAAATGTTTGTACTGTACGAGGTATCAAACCCATCACAATTGCTAGTAAGGTGTTGTGCTAAACCGCTAGACCAGCGAGCCCGTCAGAATAGATTAATTGATTCACAAGAACAGAAAGTAAAGACCATAGTCCTCCAGAATCATAATGTGATGTTAATGTATATATATCTGATGCTTGATCAGGTCTGCCATCACCTTGTTTGTCAGTCCAGTGCCATAAATTAAAAATAATTTCAATATGAGGCATATATTAATATCATCAACCAATCTTGTAAATCATACTTGAATAACAAATTAATAAAATGTAAAGTCATAGTTAGTAGAGCAGACAAGTCCCTACAAACACTCACTCACAGATATTGAACTTATGGATATTAAAAATTAAGTAGATATACATAGTTGTTCCGAAGTCATTCCAATTTATTTAAAAGGCCAGTCTATATATGTTACAATATGTATGGCCTATGGATTATGGATGGATATCTACTTCTGACGGTCGCAGCTTTGATTTTTCACATGGTACAAACATTTGTATTCATAAGTATGATGGTTTGTATTTATCAGTGTGTTTTCTATATATGTATTATGCTTATGCTATTATATAGCTGCAATATATAATCAAACAAGATAAATGAAATTGCCATTTCGGATTACTAAGATGTCATGAGTGCGACGATAACTTGATAAATGTTTTGGATACAAGGGATTTTAGATGAATACAGTAGACATTCTTAATTTTTTTTAATAAAATTATAATATGGCTTGCATCACTAGGAACTAAATATATAAAAATTGCCATTTCTGATTACTAAGATGTCATGAGTGTAACGAGAACTCGATAAATATTTTGGTTACAGGGGATTTTAAATGAATGCGGTAGATATTATTTTTTAATAAAAATATAGTATTCTGACTTTCATCACTAGGAACTAAATATTCTTTCCCATGTTCCAGCCCCTTAAAAGAAAACATTGTTTGTATGTAACCATTCAATCTTATTTTTTAATTCAGGTACCCACATCTTAGTAGGTACCACAAAATTTAAAAATTAAATAAAAATTGGTTAGTTCTCATGCGGGCGGCGTCAACTCTTATAATTAATCTATGATCATAAATCTTCTCGGGCGCGGTTTATATAATCTGTAGCAGACCTTACACAAAAAATAAACAATATAATATGTAAATTAACAAAAATAAAGTAGTTTATTTAGAATCCAAATATTATTTGCTAAACTGGAATTAACCAAAATTTAGTACAAAAAATGACAAAATAACATAATGTTCATCAATTTTTATTACAGGTTTTTATATTTTAACCTAACGGTACAAACTGTAAACGCCGCTATTATTGAGACGAATGAAGTAAAATATATGAACCGAAATTCAATATTTATAAAGAAATTGAGATAAACATTTAATAATTAAACAATTTTCAAAATAGTAATAAATAATATAAAATTCTTTTTAGAGTTGGTAAGTTGTAAAAATGACATTTAGACATCAAGAAATTTGACAGTTTGGCTATATCGCGACCTGGTAAGCGTGTATTACATAGATATATAATAGCATTGCCTTATAATTATTTAAACCGTATGTTAGTATGAAGTATTTGATTCAAACATACCAATAACGTCCAGTATTTCGTAATCATCCTCACTATTTGGCCACGGATATGAAGTATTCGGATTGGCCGCCATTTTACGACTGAATAAATTTCCGATTCCTACAGCATTTCCGATTGACAGGCTCGCGGCTTTAGCATACGACGTCAAATTTGTTAGACGGTCACATGCTCCAAATGATTTCTAAATATTGTAATAAAATATAAAAAATATTTTTTAATATAAATTAATTATATAATTATATATTAAAGAAATATGGAGGGTCAGTCAGCGCCCTCTATTAGAATATTAATTAACATCTGCGATTAGTTTTTGTAAGCGATTATAGATGGCGCTGTATTTTTAAATCGATATACGAAATGTAAACAGACAATGATGCCTGAGGCATGGGCGGGACGCTGGTAGCTAGTATTGCCACGATGTTATGTAAACTTCTAACCTTAATTTTGAAGCATATTATAAATGACACCTAACTAGTATGTTTTCATAGAATTATTGTTAATCAGACCCAGTTCCCCAAACTGCAAATGACAAGGAGATGTTTTTTTATGGATGACGATTGACTGGTGTCCTCGTCTGGTCACTGGTCTGTTAGGTGGTCCACTCGGACCTCCTGGAAATTTGTCACGATGGGCTAACTAACCTGACCATGTTTATTTTATCCTCCACTCGAGCCCCGCCAGCGTAAACCGTTAGCATAGGCGGGAGCACCTTCCATTATCATACATTAAAAAAACCTTCATTATAAAATGAAATTCATAAACAAATTTACAAAAAAAATTATACGTACTTGTCTAAAAATACCATGAACCCCTGGTGTAATTATATCAGCATAGTTTTTTCTGAAAAAAGACCATGTATATTAAAATAGTTTTTATTCCGATTAAAAACAGGAACTATTATCTGAAAATGGTATACTTGCAATATTATGCAAATAATTACTTGCCAACACTATGATAGAAACTAAATAAGGTAAAGTAGGTAAAAGTACATATACCTGACCATTTCTTGACTCAAAACAGAACTTCTGTTTATTTATTTATTTAGTAAGGCGATTCACGAAGGACTGTTCTCAATGAAAAATTACATATTCAATTAATTATTTTTTTGTTTCTACAATATTATTTAATACTTAAAAAAATCTGTTATAATCAATACATCTATACATATAAATAAAATTGGATTGTCTGTTGTAATATTGATATAATCGTTTCTTACTACATGCATATGAATATAAATACGGTACATACACTAAAATATTTTTTTTACAATTATTGTCTGTCTGTCTGTTTGTTCCGGCAGGTAACTGATATAACAAGCAGTAACTTAGGCTACTTTTATTTTAGAAAATTAAAGTCTAATTCCACGCGTACGAAGTCGCGAGTACAGCTAGTTATAGATAAACTTTGGAATCAATTTTACTTTTGTTAGCAGAACGATTTTGGTTTGTAATACAGTTCGAGATAATATTTTGCTCATTTTTTATATTCACATGTAATTGCTCAACGTGTTTAGTACAGCACTTTAATTCCGATGGTTGCGGGTTCAATTCCTTGCACGGTACAATAATTTGTATTCATGCGTATGATTATTTGTATCGGTCTGTATATTATTTGTCTTTATAGTAGTTATTTAGTACTCACAACACAAGCTCTACTTATAGCTTGGGAGTAGATGGTGTCGTTGTGTGAATATATATATTATTACTAGCTGTCCCGGCAAACGTTGTGTTGCCATATAAAAAAATAGGGGTTGGTGATAGAAGGGTGAAAATTTAGGGTTGTATATATTTTTTAATGACACAATAAAAAATATAAACAAAAGATGTTGCAAAAAAATAAAAAAATAATGTTAGGGGTGGACAACACTTATCACTTAGGGGTGTGAAAAATAGATAGAAGCCGATTCTCAGACCTACTGAATATGCATATAAAATTTTATAAAAATCGGTCATGTCGTTTGGAAGGAGTGTGGTAACTAACATTGTGACACGAGAATTTTATATATAGCTTTTGCCCGCGGCTTCGCTCGCGTTAAGAAGTATTATTATTAATTAGTTATAGTTTTTGCGGCATTACTTATGTTTGCTTTCTTAGGGAATGCCTACGTCATAGTAGCTTCATGGATGCAAAGTCAGTCCGATCGGTTTAAAATTGACAAAGTTTCATACAAACTTTCATCCCCTATTTTATCCCCTTAGGGGTGTAATTCATAAAAAACCTTTCTAAGGGGATGCCTACGTCATAGTAGCTTTATGCGTACAAAGTCTCAGCCCGATCGGTTTAAAATTTACAAAGTTTCATACAAACTTTAATTCCCTATTTTATCCCTTTGGGGGTAGAATTAATCAAAATCCTTACTTAGCGGATGCCTACGTCATAACATCTACCTGCATGCCAAATTTCAGCCCGATCCATCCTGTGGTTTGAGCTGTGCGTTGATCACTATGTCAGTCACCTTTGAGTTATATATATTTAGATTTATTACGCCGTAACTTCTTAAATCTTGGCATTTTTGCGTCCTCGGATTTTTCGATAACACCGTGACAAAACTACAAAAGAGGGACAATCTCCGTTCGAAATGTGATATATATTAAACATGTACTAGTACGTTATACTTTGTATGTATTAATATTGTATACACAGGGCCAATTACTTGTAGAACGTTTCATATTAACAAATCGATTGGCGTAGTTTAGATATTATACAAATGCATAATCATATCAATAGTCACACGCAATATCTAGTCATTACACATCTAGGTCATTTTGCAACATAATGTATCAAAAATCGTAGCATAAATATCCAAAATCGTAAAAAGATCAAATTTACAGCGTTCGAAGGATTCACCGTGCGAGTGTCGGGTCCATCGTGTGGCAGAGAGGGAAACTCCAAGCAGTTCCCGGGACTTGTGACCCGGGTGTAGGTTTAAGGGGCTCCTTTGTTCTGTTCATGTTTCTCACCGTGCCCAGCCAAATCTAGCAAGAGCCTGTTGGTACAGCTTTAGATACATGTTAAAATATAAAACTTTCTGCAGTTCTAGACAGGCCTAGATCTTTTAGAAGGTTGATGAGAGATTTTGCTGGTATACCTCTCGTTCCCATTTTGACCGCATATTAATATGCCACATATATAGCCATTTTTCGAAATATCGTTTATTAAGAGTACATTTTTTAAAATATGCATATCTATGCATTTGCGCACGCCAACATCGGAAACGCATATGGAAATATCAGTAGGTATTATTGTTCTTACACATTTCTTCATTTACTTCAATCAAGCCAATTTGTTATTTTTTTTAATAAACGAATATGGCATGATACCTTTGTCTATGCTATGCACACGCGCATGTCTTTAGTTAAGAATTTTTTTATACCACTATAATAGACAACAAACAAATTAAGGAGAAGATGGGAGTCATGTCATATCAAGAATTAAAGAGCATGATGGAAGATCACGGAAAGTAGCAAGGGCTCCACCGACAAGAGCGTAGCTCTTAAATTAGGAATGAATAAACCATAAAAGAATGTGAGTAAAGTTAGTTGTCAGTCAAGTAGTTGCGAATTCACTAGAAATTAACACTATGGTTTTCAGTAGGACCGCGTGGATGTCGCCTTATGGAGTTGATTGTTTTTAGGACTGGACAATCTGCATCCCATAGACCATTTGCGATGTTCATGTGATTGTATTTATATTTATTCATAATTGTCTATACCATGAAAAAAAAAACATATTTGTATAAAGGCCAGGGATAAAGGTTAAATATATATTTACGCTATTACTGTATTAATAAATAAATATGTAATGCATTATGTATTTGTTGATTCAAGTGAAGTGCGTAATACCATATTATAGTTATTATCTGCACATAGATAAACAATTTTTGTTTATATATTTATTTTAATGACTTTATTGACCGAGTAAATATCACACTTGATTGATGGAGTTCTAATCTGCAAATATTTTAGGTGAAATATAAATTAAAGGTATCGTGCCTTTAATTTATATATTTCGTCTCTGTTTATACTACTATAGCGGCAAACAGTAGGGCCCGTCTGATAACAAACGGTTACCGCAGCCTATGGACGCCTGAAACACCAGTGGTGTCACGTGCGCGTTGGCTACCTTAGACGTCAAGCAACTTTCTTTAAAAGATATACTTCAACTGAAGGATTAAGGTTCAAAATACGGATGCATGACATTAGTCCTCCAGAATACCTACCAGGCCTACGTATAATCTAGTACTACGAGTGTCATATGAATAATTATGATTACAACTGGTCGAGCGTAAATTCGACCAAAAATAATTTAAATTACAAGTTTGAATATTATTAGATATTAGATTGTAATTCAGATTACTGCTACACAACTTTCTTTTTAAATAACTTTATATTTGTATATTGAGCGAAAAGTTATTTCACTAATAATTAATATACATAAACAGTGTAATAAATAAATTTATTATAATTATGTTTGACATTCAGTAAGGTTACAGACAGTAATTTCAAAGACAAACAATGTTAATCAATTCTCAATTTGACCATAGAATTTAACAATAAACAAAAGAGTATATGTGTGTTAAATACATGGTATTATGTAATGTTTCTTTTATTCATTTAATGTATATTTTAGTATAATTTGATAGTTTTCAAATGTATTAGCATTCTACACTCCTTACCTATTTCAAGTACTAGCTGTGGAACTTCTGCATCAAACTTACTTGACAACTATCTTTATATTTTGCCCAATTTACATAATATCTTTTTAAATTATGCCCTATTCTGATGTATAAGCTATATTATTGTAAAGTTTCATCGAAATCAGTCAGTAGCTTTTGCTTGAAAGAATTATAAGCATCCATCCATGCTCACAAACTTCCATGTTTATTATATATATATATATATATATATATATATATATATACTCTGCGTCAACGCAATTTTCGTGAAAAGGGGTGTAGCCCATTGTTAAGATTTTTAGTTTTTTTTGGTTCAGTATTAATTAATATTTTATTAATTTACTAAATACCAGTGGGCGCGTAGGTAGGTGGATATTTATAATTTTCCTTACGTCAGTTATTTATTAAATTTTTAGCATTTGTCATTTCATCGTAATATTGACGCGAACAATCAGAAAAAGTGCCGACAAAAGATAACACCGCGATTATCTGACTGTTGTTAAAATTGTCCAGCAATATAGAAATTGAATTTTTTTGCCCGCTAGCTTACAATAGATACGCCTAACAAAGCTTCATTGAGCTTTTTCCGGGCAAACACTGTAGTTTTTAGGACACGTACGAACAATAAATAATAGAATAATAACGTCCCTTACATAATTTTATTATCATCAGACAATTTCCGTCGTGTAGAGGGTCAGCACCCGCTTTACTTCCGATGGTCGCGGGTTCGATTTCCGCACGATACAATTATTTGCATTCATGATATAATTATTGTTTGGACGGGTTTGATTATTTATATATTAAGTTTTCTATGAGAAATATAAAGGTATATTTAAGCATTTCTATCTGTTATTACCCATGGAACAATCGTAGTTAGGTATTAGATAGTGTTGTGTTAATTAGTAGTTCTCAGTTATTGTTATTATTATTTCCAATAATAAATATGAATATATATTTTTTTGGCTATTTAAACTATTATATTTCATATATATAAATTAGGTAAATCCTAGACTATGATTTTTTGTAGGTTAGACAAGTTATGTACTGCTATAACAATTGGAACAGTAAAATAAATATTTCTTTATTACATTACCTTTTATATTGTTCATTATTAACATATTATTGATTTATCTAACTGGAATGGCAAAACTAACGGCCCACATTGATGATTACCTGATGGTAAGTTATGGTAATTATTACTAAAGATTTGTAAGTGACGAAACATGACATAATATACATTCGTATAAAGCCAGCAAACTATACGAAATAACATCTTGTTCGTGCCCATTCACATTTTTAACAATTCCGGAATATTCCATTACAGGTATACAATACACGCGATTATGAATGTTACCAAATATATTACTATTTATAGTTTCGTATGTTTCTTACAGAATTTGAATTAAGTGAATGGCAGATTAGATGCAATGTTACATCATGTCATTAATATTTTTAATAGTCGTATGCATTTTTATTTCATTTTTTATTAATAACTGCTGAGCTGACCTGCACATCTTCCTCTGCATCACACTTACTTCACATTTATCTTTCAAATATTTAATATATTTTTGAATTATAAACTATGTGTTAATCTGGCGTATAAATTATATTATTATACATTTACATCAATATTCGATCAGTAGGTTTTAGGTGATAGACTAAAAAACATGTATCCATAATACTCGCAAACTTTCGCGTTTATATTATTAGTAACTAATTGCCGTTATTTGTTATTATTTAAAAATAATGCATTCTCTCTCAGGTTAGAGATAAATAAAGGAACAAAGCACAATACGACAATGTCAGAAAAGAAAATTTGATTGACAAAATCCTTTACGCTACCTGGCCAATTAATTAATTCTAGATGACTGTATCATTTTCATATCACAATCAGTAGTTTGTTATATACACTCTGTAGCGTCCATGTTCTAGTTATGTTTATTTCAGACAGTTCCAAATAAAAAATATTTTAAGCGCATGATACTCATAAATGAAAACCTAGCAGTCTAGAAATAATCTTTATTCAAATAAACTCAATATAATCACTTTTGAATAGTCATAATTTTGATTCTACCACTCATTCGGAACGCAGACTCATCACAAGAAGAATGAGCAGAAAACTTGTGTGTTGCTCTTTAGAATAGATACATATTTTTTATATAAATAATTACACAATAACAAATAAGAGGCATGCGATGATCAATATAGAAACCGCTAAGCACTGATTCTTAGTGCAATCAGATAACATTGTCAACGCTATGGATTTTAAGTTTTTCTACAAAAATGAGCGACAAAAGATGAAATCGAGATTGTCCCGCCTTAAGCAGGAATGATGGTCATGTTAACTATGTAGTAACTGGTAATGTCACTCTGTTCACACAATCATTTTTTTCTAGGGTATCTGTTATTACCTTTAGTAATATGTGTTCTTATCTTATTGATTACCTGAATATATAAATACAGATACTGTATTGTTCTGTTGTTGACAAATGATGTTGATTTTCTTTAGCTATTTATACGAACGGTGGCTCGTGTCTTGTGGCCTCACTGAAAATCAGCGCTGTAACTTAGTTATGTTACAGTATAAATGTTGAGTGGAAATCACTTTTAGCGTTGCCAGTAGGCTAAATATAGCACGAACATTTATTGTAAACCCTACTAAAACTGATGTATTTATTCTAGAATTTCTTCAGTGTTATAGGTTAGAGTTATGTGTCATACCTACTGACCAAATAATTCTAATATGTTTAATTTATTATTATTATTACTATTATAAAAAAACAAAATTGATTTTTATGACATAAATGATATAATTAGTTATAATTTTTATTTAAGCGATAAATAAATTTTTATTTACAGTCATTTTAGTGATTGCGTGAAGAAGTGAAGTGACTATGGTTTCCCAGTTCTTCTCCACTGTCAGATAGAATAAATATTTTTAAGTTTGATATTAATTTACCAAACGGAACATCCACATTATGCAAATGAAAGAGATTAACTCGTACACTTCTATTAGAACACTGACAATAATTGTAACGGATTGAGATAAGTTCCAATATAAAAGGAATTTCTCCCAGTTAGAGGGCCATTCACAAAAACAGACGATCCAGCTTGGTCTGTCTTTGGACAGAAATAAATTAGTCATCTATTGTATTGATATCGAAGTCTTGGTTTGCGTATACTATTTGAGAATCAACTTCCAAGTTCTACGATGTTCATACGTTACCTTATCCTGAAGGTAAGTACAGAAACTGTATCAATTTAATATAAGTAATAAATACTTATGATTAACTAAGTAAATCATAGCGAAATCTGTTCTCATATTCACCTGACCTGGGCTATAAAACCACCTATTAACCGCGACGTAGTTTGCTCTGAGCCTGTGTTTCGGTTATAGGGCTGGAGACTAGATAGTGAAATATCAGCATAAAAGGCGTAATATCTTCCTTTGGAATATTAACCTAGGTTATCACGGTTAACACATAACGTGATGTCCGTAGTTCATGTATGTATATAGAAGGTATGTATTTATATACCATCAAATGAGCCGTCAGCTTGTATACCTCATGTGACCGGTGGTCTAGCGATTTCCTCGCATGATACAAACATTTTGTACATATCAGTTGTATAGTACCCATAATATAAGCTCTAACTGCTTAACTTGGGACTAGACAGCGCCGTGTGAATAAAAAAAACTTTATTTAGATTTCGAACCAGTATTATTCTATGAAAAGAGAAATATTCCATGATATTTGCTATAATTTATAATGATGAAAATGGTATAGTTTTCTGACGTCTAACCAATATTTGAAGAGTATCAATTTATCAAGTATACCAACATACTATGTATTTTATTGAATTATAATCAAGTGCATATTCGTTATTAAAGTTTATAAACAATAATTTATTAATGGTACAAGGTGCGGAAATGTTTACCATCACACAATATTAGCGTGATTGTAAGCAAACCAATTGATTGCACTTGCCAAGGAATTTAAAAATAAACAACACAATGAAGTAGGTATTAAAAGTTAGAACAAAACATTGAATTTGACATCAGCATCACATATAATATTTGTAAACTGTGGCTAATAATAGACTAACAATATTAATTGTTTGTTCTATTACAACGTAAATTATTAAAATAATCATTTAAAATTGCGTATCTATAATAGTTATTGAAGGACTATGTGATAGGTATTATGAGGATTGTTTATTTTTTCTATGAATGAATGATGGTTTTAATGGAATACGCTGGCGGGGCACCAGTTTACGATAAGATGAGTATGAAATCAGATCAGTTTGACCATCGTGACAAAATCTCCAAGAATTAGACAGGTTGTTTCGATTCAGAACCACATTAATAATAGTATGATTTTTTAAACATTTACTTGTTTAAATATTACACATACCTCCTCATTTACAGCTTATTTTACTTGGGAATAATGTACTTTTCAAATAGGAAAAGAATGAGAGGTTCATTTACATTGCTAGTAATGTCAAATCGACTACGTACTTCCCTCTGAAAGTCATAATTCTTGGTGAATTCGTCTCGTTATGAAGATGTTAATGAAATTAAGACGACTTCACGTCTCACTTCACTTCATCATCAACGTATCTACCTACCATTCTATACTGATTCTTTAAAAATATATTGGTCTATACTGGACAGAGCAGTTGCTGTCAGACAAAAATATTCTAGTAACTTCTACTAAATAATAAACCGCGTCTCTACAAAAATACATGTTGCCCAACACATTGTTTGCATCATGCAATTGGATGGAAATATTAGTTGTGACATTTTCACATAAATAGTATTTAATATGGCTTGTGAAATATTTGTTACAAAAATAATATTTTTAACATGTTTAACTGGATCTACAACTAGTTTTAAATAAACAATTTCTAGTTACGCATACTAATGCAAAAAGCAGTGATAGTGCTTTCGAACTATGAACTACTTTCTTGGATAAATGGATGCCTGTTCGGCATCCCTTTTATTACTCTATCTGAAGGATTTAGGGACTCCAAACCCGTGAAGCGGCTGAGGGGCAACTCCTGTCTGACGTATCCTAATTTAGTCCAAGTCTAAGAGTTCGAAATTCATCTCAGGTCGTTGGCGTAGTAATTTACCTGCCCGTTTAATTAGGATAGGTAGGGAAAAATTATAAAACAAAAAGCTACATAAATAAATGTTTTTTGTTTTTATATGACACTTCACACAGCGCCATCTAGTCCCAAGTTAAGCTACCTAAAGCTTGTTTTACGGGTACTAGATAACTGATACATGTACATAGATTTTTTTTTCGTAAATACATACATATTATACATAGAAAACACCCAGACCGATACAAACAATCATACTCATGAATACAAATATTTGTGACGTGCGAGGAATCGAACCCGCGACAATCGGACGTAAAGCGGTGTGCTAAACGGCTAGACCACCGAGGTCGTCATTTTTCGAATTCGAATTTGAATTAGAACGGAAGGGATACAGTGAAAGTACCTAATTAAGCCCTAAACTCAACAACTTTTCAAACGAGATATGTATTGACGATGTTCTCGTCAATACATGTCTCATTTGTTTCTTTTTTACCATCAGGTGGACCGGCGGCAGTTCGTTTGCCTTTACAATTTATGTAAATTTTAATTATTAGTTCTATTTTGAAAATTATATCATTTTAAAGCTGTGTGCTTAACCGCTAAACCACAGTTACTTCCGATAGTCGCGCGTTCGATTCTTCGCTCGGTATAAATATTTCTATTCATTCGTTTCGATAATTCATGATAGTTTGTATCAGTCTGGGTGTTTTCTATGTATATTATGTACGTATTAACAAAAAAGTATATATCGAAGTATTTACATCAGTTGTCTAGTACCCATAAATCAAGCTCAGCTTACTGTGGGACAAGATGGAGAAGAATGAATAAATAATCCCTGGACGACGAACACAGCGTACTTGTCCAGGGGTTAATTATTTCTTTATTACAGTATTATACAATTTAAAATATATATATATATATATTTAAAATTTATTTAGTACAAATATATTTATTATATAATAATAGTACAGTTATATAGAACCTTCAGTGTGTGGGACAGCTCTCCCTTGGCTGGTGTTTTAATTAGTTTTAAATATGTATATTTGTGCAGGTAGTGACGTACGATTATCATTCTGAAACAGGCTGATAGATTCTGAAGGACCTTGTCGACTATGACATGAGTTGTCATAGTGTACCGATGTGTTTATCATGAATTAATAATATATGCTACTTATAATAATTTATCCGGTCAGGTTAAGTCATAAGTCATTAAGAAATAGTCAGTTTTGGAGTTTCATGTCTGCTACTAATAATATAAACATTACATTGTTTGTATATTTGTAGATACCGGACATTTATTTCGGATATTAATCTATATTATATTAGGAAACAACTTATGAACTATGCTAGTAAATTATAAATACTAGCCTCGTCTACACTTCCTTGACATTGATCGTTATATTTACCCAAAGTACATAATAACCTTCTAAATTATAGCCTACCTGTTATTCTGATATATAATCTATATTAATATGAAGTTTCAGTAAAATGCATTCAGTAGTTTTTGCGTGAAAGTTGCGTGAATTTATCATATTAGTAAGATATCAAATCTCTCAATTCTAGTAGCGAACTAATAATAATGCGTTCTCTCGGCAACATTGTGGTTATTATTTAAGCCCTATTTTTTAGTCATGACACATACTTTGCATTTGGTAGTTCTAAAAGTTAGCCCCTACTCAATTCATACATATATATCCACATCATGTTGAACTTGACCCACAGCAATCGCTTTGGAGTGTACAATGCAATATATTTGCTATATTGGTGAGAAGACGGTTTGTGTTCCCTCGTATTCTACACATCAGTGATACAGTTCTTTTCACATTATGACTTGAAAGTCATTTATCTATGCACTTTTTTTTTAGTATGTTAAAATGAAATTTTGCTCCCTACCTACTGTACATGCTGGATGGTGATAGACTGACAAAATCAGGTCTGTAGGTAACTAATATAGTGGTGAATTTACCATTAATTACTTAACCATAATTTCGGCAGGGAGAATTGCTTGGAGATAGACTTGATATGTTAGGTATATTGCTAGAAATGTGGCGCTAGTTGGCATTACTACCAATCCTCCACTCGTCATTATTTTACTGTTTGTGACATGGGCAGTACATAAGGAGCTAATAATACTTATTATTTTTAGGAACGAAACCACGGACGGGTCACTAGTATAACGTATTTTCACTTTTATAATTTTGAGATATGTGGTTGTTTTTATACGCATAACATATTAATTATCGAAAGTAAATACATTTGTTTGAAAAGTCACCTACTAGTATAATGTATAATTTTCACTTTTATATTTGTATACACACGAAATTTTAATTATGGAAAGTACATAGTACAATATATTCTAGCATATAGTAGGTACAATATATTCTTATCTGTTGTAGTACATTTATTTTAAAAAGGCACCTTCTACTACTACTACTATATAGTAATATAATATAGCTTCACTTTTATCATTTCGAGGTATGTGGTTGTTTTTATACACATGAAATTTTAATTTAAGAAGGTTGTACAACATTTGTTTGAAAATAGTACCAGCTAAGTTTCTTCCTCAATATTTTAGGGATTCGCATATTTCAGTCACATAAAAAAAATCTACACAGTCACCTAAATAGATATGTGTAGGTATATACCTATGCATCAGAGGCGGATCTACCTAAGGGCTTTTTGGGCTGCAGCCCAGAGCCCCGAGAATACAAAGTCCCTAGTCCCTGAAGCGATATTTAGAATGTAACAAAATGTCTAGAATGTTTAGAAACCTACCTTAAGGGTGCAACCCTGAGATCAATCAACCCATGCAAGTGCGCGTCTATCGAAAGGAACGGAGAATTTCTGGTCGCTTGTTTTTGGTCGGTGTATTATTTTAATTGAGTAATATCTACTTAGGGGCCTACCTAATTGGTATGCCCCTAAGTAGATATAGATATAGCTCATGGTCACAAATTCACGATCCGCCCCTGATATCATGCTCTCATAGCTTATTTATTTATAATAGTTTTTTTATAGAATGGATTAATGGGTGCCAGAGCATGAAGTAAGATCAGTTACCCCATCTTTGCAAATGACAATTTACCACAAAGAGTTTCTAATGGGCACCGCGTAGTAAACCTGATATAGTACATTGCTAGCAACCGATTTATTTTGTTATGACGCCTGCGCTTTAATTAAATTTAATTTAAAAATTTGAGTGGTCAATCGCCCATTTCTCGAAGAGGGTTACAAAATACATAATTCAAAATATCTTTAATCATGTAGGTCTATTGCAGGCTCTTATATTATCTACCGTTAATTCTTAATGATTTCGAGATAAGAAGAACTCAAAATCATAAATCTGTGACAAGAAACTTATCACTTATTTATGATTTTGATTTTTCTAAGTTTCGCGGGTTAGCCAATGCTACATATTTAAGCAGTTTAGTTTGATTACTTGTTTATAACGTAACCTACATATGAACTCGAGCGGTAGTTCGCTATCTTCCCTTCTCAGAATTTCATGTTAATTATGGAATTTCAGGAATATATTTATCAACAATATCCATAATAAATTCAAATTATCTAAAAAAAACTAGCTGCACACGCGACTTCGTTCGCGTGGAATTTAACTTTATTTTTCTAAAATAAAAGTAGCCTAAGTTACTCCTTATTACATCAGTTACCTGCCAATAAAAGTTCCGCTAAAATCAGTCCAGCAAACAGACAGACAGACAAAAATTGATAAAATGTTATTTTGGTGTATGTACCGTATTTATATTCATATGCATGTAGTAAAAAACGGTTATTTCAATATTACATACAGACAATCCAATTTTATTTATATGTATAAATAATTTGATTAATCAGATCAGTTTCTTTATATATATAGAGATACTGTAATTGAGGACCTCAGTGATCTAGCGGGTCTTTACATACTTAATAAAGCTGCTTCCCATAGTCGCGAGTTTTATTCCTCACACGGCACAAACATTTGTATTCACGACTATAATTTTTTTGTATCTAGACGCTTACTGTGTTTATATCAGTTGTCTAGTACCATAAGCTCTTCTTAGCTTGGGACTAGATGACGCTGTGTGAATTATTCAGGCTTCTCATTATTAAATATTTTTGCTTTTTATATCCTCGTATTAATACAAGGATATAAAAAGCAAAAATATTTAATTAAACCGAATTATTTCGGTATTATTATTTAGAATCACGGGTCACGATGAACAATTAATTCTAATATCTTTTTAATAATATTACGGTAGAGTTAATTAAGAGAGAAAAAGTAATATATAAATTATAATATTAATTATTCATCATAAAGTTGGCAGTTGACGATGCCTCTGACTATTGTTATTTTGCATCTGTCAAATCTTTTAATTAATATTACATAATAATATCTATTAAATATGTCACTAATAGCGTAATAAACGTAATATTTATTAATATTATCCTAAATAACATATAACTATTGTATCAGTAATTGATTAGTCTATACTTATTCTTACCTGTTATCTTCAGAGCCCTCTTCAGATTGCATGTTAAAAGTTTTCCGATATTTTCGTCTCAATTCCACACCTTCACGGCTTCTATATCGACAATTATAAAAAACACATTATATAAATAAGTTTAAATAAAAAATGACAATCGATCAAATGTAGATTAACGTGATCCATTCAAAAATGGTATACCTGTTTGTTTTTAATAGAAGAAAATGTAATGGTGAGCTGTCTGTAATTCGTAAATGTGGAGGATGATTAGATGATCATTAGGTCACCTCGACAAAATCATTTGGATTAATTACGATAGAGCACCAAGTTGATCTGACTGGTCATTACTAGCATTGTGGTTTGTAGTCCCATTTACATATAATCCTAAAATAAATAAATTAGGAAGTAGAGTCTTATTATATATTAGAATATCTATTTAAATAAAATTATCTATGGTTTAACTACATTTCTTTAGTGTCATTACATAGGCGTAGTGTGAATTAAAAAATACTATACACCTGTACACACAGCCAGGGTATAAAAATCTTCTTTTAATTATGAAAAGTGCGCGGCTCTTACTGTAATCATTGAATTTCATAAAAGAATCCATTATTTCTTTTTAAAATTCTAAAACTTAACAATTAATGTAATGAAAATATTTCTGACTCAATAAAACAAAGTAGACAATAATAGAAAAGAATTTTAATAATCTTTATTGAAAGTACATTAATATAAGCACTTTTGTATCTCTATAAAATTTCTTTTATTTAAATTAAACACTAATATTTACAACTCAATTGGATGCAACAGAAAGAATGAGTAAGAAACTTATTTGTAAAAAAATATCTTTAAATATATTGTAAACTACAAAATTCCATTACAAGAAAAAACATTAATTACGTATGTATGCAGTTTCTTCCATAAGAAAATAAAGCAGTCATAGAGCTCTCCGTATTTTTTATGTATATTATGTATTTACAAGAGACATGACATCTTAGTTCTCTAGAACAGAACACAAGTAAAACGGAACACAACAAAAAATTTTAACTGGGACAATAAAAATAAAATTCTAAAGATTAGATTGAAATTAAATGAAATTTATTTATACAAAGAACTCATAGCAGTTATACATTCATTAAAATCTAAAATTTAATATAAAATAGGAGAGTGTAAAGTGGGTAGTTGAACTGGCCTCCTATATAGGTTCATCACTAACCTGTATTTAGGAATGTCAATTTCTTATAAAATTCTATATATATACATTAATATAAAAATAACAGCTACAATTTTATGGGGACCAAAAATTATAATTATTATTTTGATATATAAATAGACATATTACATTTTATAGTCCATCAATAACCAAAAATAAATAAATCCGTTATAAACATAAATTATTCATTTTTGGCGGCAATATTTAAATATCGCGGTATAATTTAAATTCCGATATGTTAATATGAACAATAGATTCTTACCCTTTCAAGATGAAAGGTATGACGTCGGCTATACTTGACATATTTATTACCAGAGCATTGTATATTAGCTGTTCACAGTTTGTTACTGAATGATTATGAATTATACTGGTTCAATTCTCATTATTAACATAGAAGTGTGGATACTAGCTACTTATTGTTGCAACTAACGTGAATGAGTCTAGACTAGTGCTGTATCGGATATGCGTATCCGTAACCCTATCGATTATGTTTTCCCGAATTTTTTACTGATTATTAAATGTCATTACTATAACAGAAACAGAAAATTCATAAAATTTTATATCTATTTAACATCGTTCTAACAGTGTCTACAATTCGGTCTGCGATATGCTCGCCCTGGGACATGTTAAGTGTTGCGTTCTCCACATCGTCCTCATTTATTTTGACAATGCCTCTGACTTCCCCATAAAGGATTATCACCGTTAGAGCATATAATTATCATTATATTAAAAAGTGAAGCAAAAACTTTCTATATCTTTTTACGAAAATTTCTCTAAAGGAGGTGTTTGAAATTACGCAGATACATAGTTTATATATTATGTTATCTGTGGTTTGTATAGAGAAGGAGTGCAGAGTACTAATATGCATAAATATGTTAAATAAATAAAAAAACATTACACACATTACACGTATTTGATACGCATACACGTAGTATAAGTCTTTGGACAATAGGACCTTAATAATATACGAAATTTAAAACTTAGACTTTAAATTAATTAAAGTCAAATTAGTCGACCGTTAAGCGACCACTATTAATTTTATTTCTTAAAACCCAAATTGTATGGCATATTATTATATTTTTTAATTATTTACTTAACAAAGATGTACATTTTATTATTGATATCCCATACTGCAGAGCAGTTTTTTTTAAATAGTAACATTAATAGTGATGTCAAAATGTACTTGATTATACTGATAATTTACTGTAATAAATGTTTACAGCAAATTATCAGTATAATCAAGTGTTTGCTTTATAACTTGCGATAGCGTAATTTATAAAGGATCAACTATTGTTTCTCAGTTATACATACCGATAGCAACAGAATCAGAATTTGAAGTTAGTATCCGTGGATATGGGCACTAATTATTCCTGAACATATCCGTAAGTATACCCACATTATTAACGTTTGGCACAGCACTATTGTAAACACGGGCACTGTGCCACCACGGGTATCGCCAATCACAGCTCGTTAACATCAATTGAGTTTTGCCAGTTTATTGCTAACATGTGTAAGGATGCTTCATATATTAGTAATAATCTCGACCCTCAGGGTGCACTCTGACAAAATGATTTAGTTTTTTTTTTCGTTAAATTGACAGCGGCCAGCAGGCCGTCAGATCACAGGATGTTCGGCCTTTCCTCTCAGGACGTTCTCTAATAAAATGATTCGATTCGTTCCTTTGTTAAATTAAGAACGGCGGGCAGAGTGACGTATTACAGGATTGCCGGCTCCCATCTCTGGCCACTCTCTGACAGAATGAATCATATTTGGTCTTTTGTTAAATTAACAAAACAGTTGATTTAGATACGTTGTTTTTGTAAATACGAACACATTATACATAGAGTACACACAGATCGATGCAATTATACTCTTAAATACAAATGTTTGTACCGTACGAGTAATCGATCAGGCGACTATCGGGACTAAACCACTAAACCTGGTAGTTTAACGGTCTAATAAAAAATATGTTAATACTTTTTGGCTGTCTGTTTGATTGTTTTTGATAATCTCTGCAGCAGCTGGATAGATTTTTTTGACGGGACTTTTCATAGCAATTAAAGGAGTAATTTGTGCTACGTTTATTTTAGAAATTTTATTTCTCTTCATAAAAAACACGATAAATATCGCAGGTAACAGCTAGTAATTAATATAAAAAACGCTTGTCACTTGCACACGCAGTGCGTAATAGTTTGCAACATATGAGATCTTGTTTAAAGGTCATTATCTACTTATAATAATACTATTTGATGGCAAACAAATGCCACGACGCGGCGTTACGCGGTTTTAACATAATCAGCTGCTAATGTACACCAGAACCTGTGTATACCAGTGTATACCTCGTTTGTATAACAGTATAGCCCTCCCTTTCCTACGTTCGCGGGTTTGATGCTTGCAATGTAAATATAAATTAGACTTAATTCTCCGCAATCAGCCTATCATCTAGGCCGGTGTACGTGTAGAGCGGAGACTACTAAAGTAACCAGCCAAGTTCCTCCCAGGAGCACAGCCTCCTAGTGTCTTCCCAAGCTTCACGGAGCAACGTCACCATTCCGAGGACTTGTGCATTTTGTGTGGCAACTTCTACGCACTCTAGGATTACGTGAGCGTCCGTTCCTTCGGCTTCAAAGTAGCCCTGACAAAGAGGACTGTCTGTAGCACCTGTACAAGTGTTTGTTTAAGGGCCCGTGGCCCGTTATTGTCCCTATCATCATATTAAAGTTTTGCCTATTTAGATTCATAAGGCGTTTTGTTAATTGTTGGTTTACTACTAGAATTGCCTATTTTGAATATTTATATGTCTCTTTTAGGCTATATATTGAGTCAATAACTTATTTATGTGAGAATTAAGGTCTCAAACTTACATGCAGGTAAGCAGACAGTATTTACTTCGTTACAGTTTTCTAATTTTATTATATTTATGGTAATGATAATAAACAGTTATGATGATACTCTATAAACATGCCATGTTCCCTTGTTTATATTTCTGTACGATGCAGAGACGTAATCCCTGTGTGGAATAGAAAAGTAAAAATAGACGCTCTGGAAATATGGTAGAAGAGATGAATACTTCGGGTATGATGTACTGAATTTAGAAGAAATGTTTCTGTACTTGGAGAACTTTGTAATACACAGCATTGTTCAACAATACACAATTACACATTCTTACCTTCTACGGTCACGTTTCGCGAAGAACCGACGTATGCAGCTGATTATGTGGGTAGGGTTGATGGTACCAGACTCCGAGGTCGATCACTCTTACGTTAGTCAAATAAGGGGTACGTAGTACACTCTACGAGTGTACTAGAATGCCAGCCAGTAGACACAAATGGCGAGCTCGTACGGCGAATGACAATGACATCAGCCTCTTACCCCACTACATGGTAACCCCGACAATTCTGTCAAGAACGTATCGTATAAGAGGAACGTCTTGATCTCTAATTATGGATATAGATACTTACTGTATTTACAACAACATATACACCCATACGCATTTCGACACGCAAAAAAAACAGAGTATATAAAAAAACAAGTAAAAATTGATGTATATACAATTTCATATAAGATCGACCCTTTGTCTTTCAATATAAAAATCGTAATTCGTAGTCAATTAAAAAAAGTGACTATCAGTCACCTGTTCTAATTGACTAAGTACGATATTTTATCCATTTATTCAATTTAGACTTAATTGTATGTCAAAAGAACAATGCAAAACAAATTGTATTGAAATCGACATTAAATTCAGATTCCAATATAGAACTGATGTATTTGAGATATACAAGGAACTTTCAACCTTTATAAAATAATATAAGACAATGGCGTCGCTCTTGGGATATTTGTAAATGAGGCTTAAAAGTAACTTTGTATAATTGTTTGGTATTCTATAATGTGCAATATAGTCAACGTAACTTTTTACAGTTACATGTTAATTAGAAATGCTTATTACACAAATCTAATTAGAATTAACAAACTTAACTGTATTTCAACGAAATAATTCTCGAAATTTTTTGGTAAAATGTTTTGTGTGTCGAGTTTCTAAATTGAGGAAATCATCACACTCTTCGCAATCTAGACTAAGATTATTCTTATTTAATAATATCTCAGGAAATTCACACAGCGGCATCTAGTCCAAAGCTTGTGTTATGGGCACTAGACAACTGATACATACATGGATACTATATTTTTGTAAATAAATACATTATTATACATACAAAACACCCAGATGGATACAAACAATCATACTCATGAATACAAATATTTGTACTGTGCGTGAAATCGAACCCACGACCATCGGATAGTAAAGGGATGAGCTAAACTACTAAACCACCGAGGCTGTCAATAGTAATAATATATTTTCATAACTATTATCCCAGCTATATCTTATTATACAAATAATTCCTATAAAAAACATAGACAACATATAAAATAGTTCCCAACAGAAATATGGTCAGTTGTCGACACATGGTGAACAAAGCACTTCACATGGATACTATATTTTTGTAAATAAATACATTATTATACATACAAAACACCCAGATGGATACAAACAATCATACTCATGAATACAAATATTTGTACTGTGCGTGAAATCGAACCCACGACCATCGGATAGTAAAGGGATGAGCTAAACTACTAAACCACCGAGGCTGTCAATAGTAATAATATATTTTCATAACTATTATCCCAGCTATATCTTATTATACAAATAATTCCTATAAAAAACATAGACAACATATAAAATAGTTCCCAACAGAAATATGGTCAGTTGTCGACACATGGTGAACAAAGCACTTCACAATGATAATTTAATCCCTTGGTTGATAATTTTTGTAAGTATCGGGTATAAACTAAATATTGTCTGATATTCTGCTTAATATACTGTGGAATTTTAATCACATTTCATGTAGCTATTTTTGAGTGAAAGGCTTCCAAAAAATATAATTTGTTAACAAACTCACTTTCAAATTTATAACATTAGTAATATGAATAAAATAAAATGTTGTATTCATATTAACCAAATAGCCAGAATCGTTTGAATAATTTTACATTAACACGATCGAAGCCTGTAAAAATGAGTTCGTAATTGTTGTAGTTTCATTTTATATGTATATTGGTAAAAAGAAAATACAGAAATAATAATTTAATAGGGATATAAAGAACGATTGACAAGACATTGAAGTATAAAACAAAAACGAAACAATAAAAGAATTAAATTGAAATATAAATATAGAATAATAAATACATTTCTGATTAGCCAGTGCAGTAATACAACTATAATTTTAGCAATTATTATGTCATTATTAAACTACATAAATGTATTAAAATACATATCTGATTAACCAGTACAGTATACAATAGCAATTATTATATGATTATTAAACAACATAAATATATCAATTAGGCGCTATGCATCTCGCTGTGTGTCGCCTCATCTGCAACCGGCCCCAACGAGGAGGCGGCTCGGGACTTTATAGAACACGTGTTAAGAATACCCAATCCTGACAAGGTATTGAACTCCGTTCTTGGTCGGCTGGAGAGGAACAGGCATCAAGCATTGACGGCAAGGCAACGGCTGTCCGAGGAAATTGACTGCGAGGAACCATCAGAGGTATATGGAGTAATAATAAGGGACAATTCAAAAAGGATTAACTAACTAAACACATAGCAAGCTACATAGCCCTTTAAGTCTGTTGTCTTTATCTTGTAGTAGCAGAGACAAATGTTGGTTGTTCATTTGTCTCCCCTACCACAAGATTACAGACGTAGACGACATTATACAAATTTTACTAGTTAATATAGATAGATAGAATAATAGATAAATACAACTATTCATTACTTATCCATTACAAACACATAATTAAAGGTACATAAAAAAATAATTTACACATAAAAGAAATGGAGGTAGCTTTATTTACGGCAAAGGTGAAGTAGCCAATCAACTCAGCATAAAGCTACAAATAAACCTGCAGCTCTAATATCTTATTGGCTCCCATACTTAAAAATATATGTGTATGTGTTAAACTTCTAGTTCGTTAATGAATGTATTTTCTTCGTATAATTTCTTATACATATGTGGAAGTCATGTTTAATATACAGTAGTATTTATAAAGTTATTTTAATTATATTAAAATTTTCGATGTGATTATACGAATTTTCGCTATCAGATATTACCGGAATACACCGAATCTATACAAGCGTCAAGGGAACGTGAGCTGAGACAACTAGGAGCACAGGTAACAATAACAATTAACAAATATACTAATGATCCTCATCAAAAACTTACTTATGTGCTTACTTAAATTTTTCATCTAACTCTCCGTTAACGTCCATTCGTTATGCTTAATTCGAATTAATACGCGTAACCGAAGAAAAACAAGAAATAATGTATCGGCAGCAAATATACAGTACAAGGCTCGCCTCTGTTAGGCTGGCCCTATATATTCTCATACGAAATATGAGAATATCAAGAGTTACAAAATTTAACAAAATCCCCTCTCTACCTCATCATCATCATCGCAGCCCGGAAGACGTCCACTGCTAGACATAGGCCTCCCCCAAAGATCTTCACGACGATCGGTCCTGCGCTGCTCGCATCCAATGCCTTCCAGCGATCTTGACCAGATCGTCGGTCCACCTTGCTGGAGGCCTTCCCACGCTGCGCCTTCCGGTCCGTGGTCGCCACTCGAGGACTTTACTGCCCCATCTGTCCTACGAGTTACCTGCCCTGCCTATTGCCACTTCACAGTCGCAATTCAATTTCTTCTTTTCAATTCTCTCTACCTCATTTGGGATTTAAGCTCTTGTACCTATATTTCTGTTCTTACCCAAAGGTTAGCTGGTAGAGAATGTTATAAGGCATTAAGCTCGCCAATTGTACAATTTAATAAATATTGTTTGTGTTTCTAACTGTGATCTATTTATAATGCATTTAAAATCAATAAAATTAATAATAAATGATAGACCGTGTTGACAGAAAGAAAAGAAGATTTTATTTATTTTTAATTACAATTATTTTATGGCTTTTATACAAAAAGAGGTTTCATGTGCTAACAAATATACAAGTGCACTATAGCATAATTAAATAAAAATAAAACAAATTATGAGTCAGGATATTAAAGATATAATTTAATTAAGGAACTAAGTTATTCACGCTTATTATTAGTGATCGAAACAGAACAATTGAATACTATAAATAATTATATACGATATAAAATATGCTAAATATTTACTTACAGTAGTTACAGTAAACAGCATATTTTTAGCCAGTAAAACACGTCTATATTTTTTACTATTCCTAAATCTTATGTCGAGTTGAGCTTGATGTTTTACTTGAGAAGAATTTGACTAGTAAGTAATTTGACTACTTATTTACTATAAGTAGTACGTATAAGTACTACTTAGCTATTAATTTAATCTTTTTTTGTACAGAAACATTACCCCATATGCCACCTGGAAAGAAAGATTCGAAGATTGAATACAAACGAGTATGAATACCGCCCAGCTTACTATGAGGAGGTCCGTTGTAGTGCAGTGAACAACGAAGATTTTAGTGGATCCAATGAGGTAAAGAGAAAAAGTTATCTTGCAAATCGTATATTTACACATCAACATGTTCCTATATAAATACATATCATCATCATCGCCTTCACCATCATCATTATCATTGTGAGATCGCAAGTATTTTCATATACAACAAAAATGCAAAACTAATTTACATTGGAAACGTATTCTAGAGTAGCAATATCGCAAATTATCGTAGTGTAGGACGCCGTGCAGCTAGATGTAGCGATGATAAACATAGAGTTGCAGGTATTAACTAGAAGAAAAGGGATGAAGATCAAGCTCAGTGGGAGTCTTAGGAGCTGCATATGTCCAGCAGTGGACTGTAGTGGGCTTATGATGATGATGATGATGATAATAAAATATAATAATAGTTATATTTTATAATATACAATAATTTTTAAATTACTTTATGTATAACAATGTAATATATATGTATAATGTAATAGTAGTATTTAAACGTCTAAGATCAGTTCTTGACCTAAAACTACTAAAAACAACATATACTGCATTATGTCAATCTATAATTAATTACTGCATCCTGTCCTGGGGTGGTACATCTAAAAACAACATACTACAAATAGAAAGAGCACAACGAGCAATATTAAAAATTATACTTCAAAAACATATCCGGTACCCTAATACCTACGGTACCCTAAAAAGACTTTAATGTATTAACAGTTAGACAATTATCTATTTATTTATTTATTTAAGTAAAGTATAAACAAATTCATCAGATGTCATATAAGATAGTAAAAAATTAAAGTACGTCAAAGCTACGTAAAAATTGTGTAATTGAACCAACCATTGTGGAAGGAAATAACATCTGTAACACAGGGATTCCCTAGCACAGATGTTACGGCCTATAAATTAGTGACATTGTGTAAAAATGAATCAATGTATTATTATATATAAATAAACTGTATAAAGTTTCTTTATTATTTTCAGATTTGTTCCAGCCTTGGGTTTTCTTGTGTTCAGTGGAACAAAACTATTCATTTGACTAGAAGACGATACTCCAGGTACAAATTCAGCTATACACATATAATGATTTATTTTAGTACCCATACTACAAACTCGTAAAACAAAAAATGTTAAAATATATATTATAAAAAATCTGTATATTTTAATTAGTTATCTAGTAGTAGTTTAATTAAAAATGCATTCTATTTGTTTTGCCTCAAAGAATGTTTTTTCTTGTCCAGTGACTGCTGGGAGACCAGAACGATGGTGATACCAGCTGGCTGCGAGTGTATGTGGCCGGTGCATCGGCTCGGTGACATGACTTTACACGTTTGAAAAATACACCTCACTCACATACTTATTGGGACCCTTGTTTCTACTTTGTTTTAGAATATAACATTTGCCAATAAAGTGCTTTTAGAATTAAAAACTGTCTATATCTTAAAAATCTATTTATTTATTAAATTAACTTACAGCTAATTGCTAACACGTTAATATCTTAAAACTGTTGTATAAAGATACATATGTATACTAGTTTTAATTATTAGATAATTGTTTTCTCTGTGGATGACGATATTTAGCTTTACCGAAAAATAAATTCAAGAGGTGCAATGCTCGAGTAGTGTAATAATGAGCAGCTCAATCTAAAGCATATAATAATAATATTAGTAGAACAATTACTGGCGTAGCTTGTACGCATCACTGTAGTTGCAAACAGTCGCACACAACGACGGCGACGGGTGAGAATTCTCACATAATTCGGTGGAATATTAAATCTTATATTGTTATAATATAAACAATCACATTTTATTTAAAAAAAATACCCAAGATCTATAGCAATATTCCCTCTTTCAATTGCCATGTTACCTTGGGACTTGAGGGCGCTGTGTGAATTGTCCCGAAATATTATTATTATTGCCTATTTCAAACGGCTTGACTTAACGGCTTAACGGCTTCCAAGCAGCTTGGTTCAAGTATGGTAGGTACAGAGGCATGATTCCTTAGTCTGAAAACGCATAAGTGATACCACAATCGTCACATGATGACGTAATATCCAAATAATACATTTCCACTTAAGTACAAGTTGACACATTGAGTTTGTATTCATTAGCATTGTCTCAATACCGTAAAACCCGTTAATTTTGCCCTAAAAGACAGTTTTTCTATGTTTATACATTAATGGAACAGTGAACATACGCTGTACTACTGTACTAGTAGTAAAAGTAGAGAGGATGGGGATGAAATTAGGTCATATGGCCTATTGTGTCGAATGCAACAAAATTTAACCTACAGGTTGCCAGGGTTGACCAGTTGACAAAGTTACTATATTACTAATTCGCACTAGCTTCATGAAAATTAATCTATTTGTTCTAGTAGATGATAATAACGTCCAACTATATAATCTAAACTACAAATATTTGGGCAAACAAATCTGAATAAAGGCACAAAATAAGCAATATGAAGTAGACCGAGAGTTCAAAAGACCTGAAGCAAATTTTGGAGATATGAAGAAGTAACTCAATTTCGCTTTGGGACTTAAAAAGAAGCTTGCCAAACTTAAAAGTTTACTTATAAGGGATTTTTTTTTACTTTATAATGAACCAGTCATCTATATGTCATATAGTCATATAGTGATATATATCATATAATAAAACCAGTCAATGAAGTGTGGAGAGGAGTATAATGAATATAAACATCCTTAAAGGAATCCGTATGTAGACTGATGTAATAGACGTCCTAAGTTATGCTCAGGAATTAATATGGAAATAAGCAGGCAATGTAGCCGAATAACAGATGGATTATAGACGCCACGGGGTGGCCAAGTCCAGATGGTTATAGAAAAGTTGACCATAAACAAATTCGGAAACATCACGCACAGCTAGCAAGAGAGGTCTTCATATGAGACCCTCATTCTAGCAAAAACATGTTTATTACATTTTATCAAATTATAATATAGCTTAATTAAATCTCAATTGTAATTTTAGTTAAGTCAATTGGCAAGAAATAATATGTTTTATTATTTATTTATTTACGCCATAGTCACTTTAGACGTCTTTCAGGACAGCAATCCTGAACAAGTCCTGAACGATGTAATCCTGAGCCTCAAGCATCAAATCAGTCGGCCTATACAGACATCAAATCAAATCGCGACGCAACTTAATAACTTAAGTAAATAATTTGTGAAGTGCCGGTGTCAATAGTGTACAAGTACTGTCTGAATAATTTGAAATAGAACTACGTCGGAATGTCAATTCGATTAGAGGATAGCAAAGAGTGTGTGTGAAGCGAGACCGACCCGCACTTTGAGCTACGAAACTTTTGAAGTACGAGTTTCTATGCCAGGGTTGCCGCAAGTTTTTGCCCGGTATAAAGAACCCAAGAATCACGTATGTTTACTCTTCAATCTAACAGTAAATCGTCTTTTTTTTACGATGGAGGGAAGGGGTGGGGATTGCGACAGTTACCAATAGTGTTAGGGTTGTCACTTGTTGCACTGTGTACACTAACCCCCAAATTCGTAAACGCTAAAAGCACATACCAATACAGTTCGAGTTATTTTATTCTTGTTGCAATGCATTTTAACTAAAAGAATATACTATAGTTATATAGACATAGATTAAATACTGAACCGCTAAAATAGGTTTATTAGACTATTTACTTTAAATTAATTTACCATTATTTTACTACAATATAAAAACAAAATCAGCAAAACTGAAATTATAAAAAAATAATAGAACATTTATTTTTATGTTTTTAAATTTCTAATATATTACATTTCGTATATATTCATAGTATTAAATGAAATTCTCGTACAAAATTGTACGAGGACGATGGTGTCCTTGAGTCTGATACCGATGATTGTAAATTTCGTAGCCGTTCATACCGTTGGCTAGTGACAACCCTGATCTATGCGTAGCTCACGGGCAGCATTATCTAGCGCGGAGGCTGTCGCGGCAATCAGTTAACCGCGATTGTCGTCGATGAGAGGTGGTTTCTCCGGATTCACTACTGGTTGTTCGTATCTTCACGCGATAAAAATTAACAATAGGTAAGTCTGTGTTTCATTATTACAACTTTCTAATGTTTCGCCGAAATTATCGACTGATGCGGTTTGCGCGGACTCTACCATTATAATTTTTGAATAACTTAAGCACAAAATTTTTATATTTCTAACTCAGAAATATTATTTTAGTGGGAGAGAGAACGAGGGGTTTGTTTAATGTTTGAAATTATCTTTGTTTTAATTCCATGAAAGTAGAAACTAAAGTAATTATATATATTTAATACAGTTTTAGCATCATCTGCACGAAATTGTGTTTTTAATCCGATTACTTTTTTCATCATAATCTAACTTCAGTGGGCACTATTAGGGTTGATATTGTTATATTTCACTCTAAGATAAAATTGCGCTAACCCTAGTTACGCATCTAGCTAGCCTTTTGTTACGTATAAGTTTCATACATGTTATTTTATTCTATATACCTTAAAGACTGATATTTACGTCTTTTTTCAATATTATTGTATGTACAGTATACTCGTATGTCTTATGCTGGCTCACGTAAACTGTAATCACTCGATTTTAATTGTACTGAAAAATAACAAATAATTAATTGAATGGGGGTGTTTTGTAGTTATATAAAAGACTACGACGAGACGTTTATCCGCGAGTTTATATATTTATTTTGATATTTATAATTACATTATTATAATTACCAAGTTTGTTACCAAACAGATTTTTGTAATTATAAAATTAGCATGGAAGTGTATCTCTCAACAAAAAAATAATGAAATTATAAAGGTCAGAAGTGAAATAGTGGCTATATTTAAATGTCTAACTGTCTGTCAATTAAAGTAAGTCAATTAGATGTCTAGTAATTTTCATTGTTTCATTCCTATGACGTGAGAATGTGAGATAAACAAACAGAATAATTGTGATGCTCTCTGGTGTTAAAAACTATTTAATTTGTCGTCAATTATCTGCATAATATCATGTTATCTCGTGAGTGAAATTTGAAAGTATTTAGAACTAAATTATATAATATAGTTCCGTGTGGTGACGGCGTTAGATTGCAATGTGTGACCACTCCTTTTCATCCCCATTTTTAGGAAATACCAATGCTGTTGATCGCAGGTGTCATTGTAACTATATTATCATCCCTAGTAATCGCATTTCCACACGTCCCTAACATCGGTATATATATCATAATCGGAAACGAGTTAGGGCGCTCCCTACCACTGCTTACCTTTTAAAATAGGTAGCGATTACAACCACCTATTTTAAAAGCGTGTGTGGACTACATAATTATATCGCTAGATTAGGAATACAAAGCGTATATGCATACTGAGATAAAAAAACTCCAAATATAACTATATACTTAGGCAGTCAACTACCTGTTTAGTACTATAAATTTTCCTTATATCAGAATCCGGAGTCCATGTCCTATATCCTCTTTAAAATATAGACCCAATATGGTTATACTAGCTGTTATTCGAGATTTCATCTGTTTTTTAATAAATGATAGTCTATGTCAATAATGATAAAGTAACAAGCAGACAGGCACACTTTCGTGTTTATTATAATAGTATTAATTTTATTACAATCGATCGATCAAGCATCAACTAAAAATCAATGCATTCCGCAATGATGTTTAGTTGATGATATTGATATAGTGCACCCGCCTTCGCTAACAATATACACCAGCCACGTACCAGTGGAAAATGATGGTGGAGAGACTTGTGTCCATCAGTCCACCGTGGCAAATTCACCAGGAATTAACTAAGATAGTTCTCCTGGAGGATCGACTGGAGAATGACCTGATTTCATTATAATACTATCATCTTCCACTGGAACTTAGCCAGAAGCATGTATATACTATTAACGCAGGCGGAACTATCATTCCTTAATTTTATTCATAAAAAAATCGTAGGAAGTTATAATAAATAATGTCATATTCATATATACATGTAACGCGTTATGTAAGGCTTGTTTTAACTAAAATAAATAATTATAATGCTTCACGCAAGCGACGTAGTGGATTTTTTTGTTTACACTAACTAATATTATAAAGAGAGAGCGCAAACTTCTGAATTTAACTTTATGGTTAGAACTACTGTATATCTTAGATATATTTTTAAGAGAATGACAATTTTATACACCCTCCCGCGCTGACAGGATTATTGTGGAGCACCAGTGGAGGATGATAGGATGAGCGTAAAGTATGGTCAGTTATCCCATAGCGGCGGATTCTCCACGAATTAACAAGGATGGATTTCAATAAAAACATCGAGGACTTCGTCCTGGTGCAATAGGTCCCCATTCCAATTAGCCCAACAGTCCCCATTTCTACCAGTCACTGCT